CTTGAAATTGGCGATCATGCAGGATTGCAAGCAGAAAAGGTTCAAATGCCAAGTTGTACAGTACAGGAGAGAGAGGATCCCCCTGCTTCAAGCCTCGAAGTTTCGCCACTTCAGTTGACAGATGGCCATTGATGTTGATACGTATGAGGTTGTCACCCATCAACTTGGAGATACACTTGATAATAGGGCGAGGAAACCCAAATTTCCCCAATACCTTCCTCAAATATTCCAAGTTCACCCGATCGTATGCCTTTTCTTGATCCAGAAGAAGACCGATGTCATAATCCAAAGTGTTAAAGGAAGGATCATTTTCCTGTTGTTCAGCGATGGACCATTTCCGTTGAGCATCTTCCATTAGGAGCTGGCAGATCATTCCATTTTCAGCAATGAATCGACCAGGAATAAACCCAAGCTGATGTCGGCTGATCAAGTTGGAAGAGACTTCCATGATTCGACGGTTGATATTGCGAGTGAAGAGCTTGTAGTCTGAATTAGCCAGAGACAGAGGACGGTAGTTCTTCATTTCAGCTGGATCGCCTTTCTTGTAAAGCAGACACATGACGGATTCGTTCCAAGATGGCGGGAACTTACCCTTCTTTAAAGCTTCATTGTAGACTAATTGGATGAGATCATGGAACGGTGGAAATTTCATTACCAAGTACAGGATTTCATAAGGTAATCCATCAGGTCCAGGACTACTCAAACGACGAGTCTGCTTGCTATCGGTCAAGAGTTCCTCCACATCAATCGGCATCATCAATGATTCCTGCTGCTCGCTGTTGAGCTTCAAATGACCTGGGATGTTGCGAATTATAACACTGAGGGAGGTTGAATCCAGAGCCTCCGGTGTGAACAGTGAGGTGTAAAAGTTGGTAGCAATGTTGGAGATGCTAGGTTGATCTTGACATAGATCGCCAGTTGTAGGGTTCCTGAGTTCCACAATTGAACGACGATTTTCTCGAGACACCACAGAGCGCTTCAGGAAGCCTGGAGATTTCTCACCATGTTCCCGCCAAAATTTTCCTGCCTTCAAGATCTCTATTTCTGCAAGAGAGTGCTGGAGAGATTGAATCTGTTGATTAACCGTGTCCAAGCCTTGAAACACCAAGCCTCTTGTCTTCTTATGCCGCATCATCTTGTTTCTCTTTGATAGCAGTCGGTGTAGCTGTTGTTTCCGCCAGTTCAAATCCTCCATTTGATACTGTTTGATAAACATCTTTACTTCGGCTTTGATCCAATCCCATTGTTGTTGGGGAGTGGAGAAACGCTTGATTTCTGCCAGACGCGCCTCACTATCAATGAGGAATTCTGCCAATGCCTTCCTAAATGTTTTGTTGCAAGCCAAGAACGGATTTGCCTTCCAGTTACCAGGGCCACGGCCATTCGCATCTTGATATCGAAAAGAGAATCCCAAGAGTTCATGGTCGGTCCAGGCAGGAGACAGATACTGCTGGTTGGTGCTAGTGACTAGATGATGGGCGTTTGAACTACAAAAGATGTAATCCAGAATCCCTGAATTGCTTCCACTATGCCATGTGTTGTGTTTGTCTTCCCCAAAAACGTCAATAAAGTAATCATCGAGTAGATCGGTCCATTCTACTGGTGCACTGGTGAGGGTGCCATCGACTCGACGATCCTTGTACTGGTAGTTGAAGTCTCCCATGATAAAGACGGTGTTTGTTGTAGTAGTAATAGTTTCTTTGACAATTTGTGTGCCAATGAGTTCTGAATAGAACGCTGATCGGTCGGTGTGAGCGGACGCACGACCGTAAATATTAAGTATTGTTGCTATTGGTGGTGAATTGGGTGAATTTTCCAGGTCTCGAGTAAGATGAAGGGAAGCCAAGATAAATCGACCCCCATCAATGCCTTCTGAGATGTGTTTGAGTGAGTAATGAGTGTTGAGGGAAATGATGCCGCAATGTTGAGTCCAAAGACTCGACTTGCAAGTAAATTGAGTGTTGAGTATGTCTATAAATGTGTTGTCTGTTGCATGTGTTTCTTGAAGCACTAAGATGTCATATCCTAATGTTCGAAGATATCTAATAAATTGTTGTCTTTTTTTGGTGTTATCTGTTTTTTTTAGGCCACGGCAATTGAGGGTGGCTATTTTCACTGTATTTTGCTGATTAATCATATTAATGTTGGGGAGGTGAAGGAGGGCCTGTCAAGCCGAGTTGATGTCCAGTCTCTACTTCATTAGATGCAGCTTGTTGTTTGGCAGAACTAACATCATCCGCGCCATTAAATTTACCGATCTTCTTCGCAGGGCGTTCAGGGCGCTCCTCTCGTTCATTAGCAGAATGGGTAGAAGAGTCGTACATGATAATATCATTGGAAGCCCCTTTCCCATCGACTTCTTTAACTTGGAGTTTTGGAAGATCATCCATTTGAACATCTCTATCAACTACCTGCTTTCTAGCACCTGTTTGACTATCAGCGTCACCTTGAGTGCTACCTTGCTGGGTAGCAGTAGTTCGATTATCGGAATCACCTTGGGAACCACCAGATGCAACATCCTGGCCTTTTCCTTGGGCATTACCTTTGTTTCCAACTGGAGCACCACCAGGAGTTACTTTGGAGCCACCCTGAGTACCCTTTTTACCCTCTTTGGCCACCTGAGAGCCCTTTCGGGGTTTGGCAGGAGTGTTTTCCACCGCACGGACCTTGTTTGGGCTGTCATTGCGACTGCAGTTCTTCACCACATGTCCAGTTTCATTGCAATGATGGCAGCGGACCCACTTCTTGTAGTCAGGACAATCAGCCCGACAGTGTTCAGAGCTCTGACAATTACGACAGAAAGCCGGCATTTGATCCCATTGGAGTAAAACTTTTCTTTGATCCGAAGCTGTCAAATCCCAGACAATGACACGACTGAGTTTCTCCAAATGGCGATGACCAGGGCAAGATTTCCCAACGGGATGTAACTCTTGACATTCATAACCAGGGCTGGAAGGAACCGTTAGATTAAGTGTAGCATAACCTTCTCCTTGATAGATCCCATCAGTTCTCGAGATGCCGTGATCCAAGACATCCCCGAACGCAGAAAGTCGGGCAGCCATTTCCTCCTTCAACTGAAGGGCCGGCAAGAAAGGAAGATTCTCCAGGGTCAGTTTCACAATCGTAGCATCAGCATGGTACGAGGCAAACCCTTTCACAAAGGTGCCATCCTCTAGAGTGATACCTTCTTCAATGAGAGTCTTACGACCTTCGCTGTTGGGCAGCCACATGGTTTCCAAGAAGGCATGGTTGAGGTAGTGTCGAGGTTGTTTCCGGTATCCAAGAAATTCTTCATACATGTCTTCAGCATTAGAGGCTTCGTTGAATTGAAGAAGAGCCTTGTTCAAGAGATTGCGATCCTTGATAGGTGTCAGATCGATGAAGACGGAATCCTGTTCCACGCCTTTGAGGAATGGACGGATAACCGCCTGAGGAGGTGGCGAAGTATCCCCATTGATGGCCTGTTGCGAGGCCTCTGCTTCCGTTACAGGTCGTTTGACGATAGTGGGATTGAAAGAGACGATGGATTGTTGTTGTCTGTTGTTCCCTTTGCGGCGTGAGTTAACCACATGAGTCCACAACAGTGGAGCCGCAGTGTCAGCTTGCGAGGAACGTTGATGTACTTGACTAGTGTCTGACATGCGAAAAGGGATGACAAAGTAAAATAGATTACAGAATAGGACAAAATAGATTAAAGAAGTCGAAAAAGAACAATATCTGCCCAATCTTGAACAGAAGAAAATAAGCTGAGTTTGAACCAATTTTGGCGGGCGGCACTACTGCTGGCTGGCCCAAATGCCTTTCGGATGATGACAATGATGATAACAATGATGATTGCGATGCTGATTAAATGAGGATCATGAACTTAAAGAACAATTGCTTAGCTTGAATACTTTTTCTATTTTAGCATGTGAGTTTTTTTTCTATAATAAAGATGTCTTTTGCAGTGACACTCTAAAAAAAAAAAAAAAAAAAAAACGTTGTAGATCTTGATTATTTACTCTGGCCAGCTTTATGTCGCCATCTCAAGAGCAACATCTGCGAATGGTATGACTATTCTATTACCAAAAAATGCAGTGTATCAATGCTGCATAAATCTTGAACTCTCTTTCATATCGCCTCGATAATAGCTTTCGTTTGATATCAGTGTATAAGCAAAGAGGATTGCAGGGGGGGGGGGGGGATAACTTCCAACACCTCTTCCTGACTCTGACATGACCTTTTTTAATTATCTCTGATTTAAAATGTCTTCGGTGATTGCCCTCAGGACGACACTGTCATCGAGCGCAGCGTGGTAGATCGGCTAGTACAGTGCCATCATAACACGATAAATTTATGGTCCCTAGACACTTTTAAAGCCTCACAAAGGAAAGAAATAGATCTTATAAGTATTTTGGCTTATAGACGTTATTAATTATAAAATTTTAAAGGGAAATAGCATGGCTAGAGGCAGTACTATGTAATTTGCCACCTACTTTCCATTAGCTTCAGAAGTATCTGTTAGTGCCTTCATGATTCGAATGGCATTGGGTGTGTTAGTTGGCCTCACCAGCCGCCAAAATTCATTTCAATTCATATTTTTTGAAATTGCTCAGTAGATTTATTCAAAAAATCCCTTTTAGTTGTTACCACTGGATGCGTCTCAAAAAGTACGTTAAAAAAGCTTAAGAAAGCCTAGAGGGATCATCACAATTTACATAGTCGATTCTTCCAAAATAGTTCAATCAAGTCGAAATTAATCAAAATCCAACCAACCTCGAACGAATAAAAATAACATATCGGAGTTGTGAATATTCCTGGCTGGCGAAGCTGACTAGGAGATGTCAAAACCTTTCTGCTGACAGCTAAAATTACATGAATGCAAATCATAATTTAGATGCGGTTTACTAGATTTATTTTTTAATAGCTACAAAATGGAGAGAATGAACAAAATAATGACATGGGGAGGGGTAGAAAAAGCGGAATAATATAATTTATACATGTTCTATCGACTGAAAGGTTTATTTCTTCTTTGGAGATGCTTTGCCCTTTCCCTTGAAGATGGGCTTGCCCTTCATCTTGTTGTAACCACCTAAACCAGATGTTGATTCCAGAGTATTTGATTTAGCAAAGCGCCCCTTCTTTCCACCAGAACCGTATTTAAGATCCTTGTTGATTCTCTTTTGACTCTTGACAGGTGCACTCTTTTTATCAGTCTTTGCACGCTTGGTATCGGCTTTCTCCAAAGCAATATCAAAATCGTCATTTAATGTTAAATCTTCGCCATCCTTTCTCTCTGTGAACGGTATCAATAAATACTATATTCGAGAGCATCATGCCACATGTTTCTAACTTACTTCTCTTGAGTAACTTGATCTTGTCAAGCATCTCTGACTTTTGCTTTTGTCTTTCCAATTGTTTCTCCACTTGGACCTTCTTACCAAACTTCTTCAATTGACGTTGACGCTTGGCATCCTCAGAAGCCTTGAGTGATGCGCTTTCATCCAATAACTTTTGACGGATCTTGGCCATGTGTTCATCACTCTTCAACATTTCAGCGAAATAATCTTCAGGTCTGGAAAATTCGGCACCGGCTTTTTTTACAAGTTCTCTGCCTAATTTAGCAGCTTCGAGGGCTTGTTGATAGAAGGCTAATTCACGTTGCATGTCGTTTTGCACATCCTCAACAACAACAGGCTTAGAGGAGGTGATTGCCATGGTTTCGATCCAAGGTAAATTCTTCAATTTAAAAGCTTCAGTGATACGGATCATGGCAGCCTAAATACGCATTGTGTCAATGTCACTCAGATCAAGGCTGTCCCAATGCAACCTCTTACCTCATCGTTGATTTTAGCCCTGATGGGACGAGGTTCCTGCTCTACTGCCTCATCGTCTTCATCCCCACTTATGGCTTCTTCTTCTTCTTCGACTTGGCTATTCTCTTCTTCTTCTTCTTGATCTTGTTCTTCAATGGCAACAGCTTCAGGGATTTCTTCGTCGCTGCTTTCTTCGGCAGCTTCAATTTTCTCGACAGTAGGAGCGTTGTTCTTCTTGTTTGCCTTCTTAGCAAGTCTATCAGTTTTGCGAGACATTTTGGACGAGAAAATAGAGTTATCAAACGAGAAAAAAAATATTATCCTTCATTGAAACTTGAATGATGAAAAGAAAAAGCAGGAAACATTGTCACGAAGCCTCACTAAAAGCCACTACCAATATACCTCTCTCAACGCAATTTCATGCCCCTTCAAGCACAAATGAAGCACACTATGAGTTTAACTGAATTAACAAACGAATTATCAAAAAGCTTTGATGCTTGCTTGGAGGCCATCCTCGCAGACCCCCAACAAAAAGAAGACGATGCAGAAAGTATGATGTACTGTTTGGAGATGATGTGCCGCTCAACTCATTATTATTTCAGGTCTAAACACATACTTAGCTGCCTTAAAGATCTCATTTCTGCAAATAGAGAACCAGCTTAGAGACATACGCCTAAAAGCGTTAGGTAGCAAAGAACTATCGGTGACAGAGGTATGGCACTGGATGTGGTGATTACATTGCATGTACTGACGCATCATAGTCCAATAAATTGCTTAAACGGGATATCGAGATCAAGAAGAATACAATTGATAAATACGTGACAAGGATAGAGAGTTGGGAAAAGGAGCTACCCGTCCTGAAAGAAAACAGCGAGAAGGCAGTGGCGATTCGAACAGATGGCCATGATTTTGATTCAGACATTGTGCTGCCAGAAGAGACAACGACAACAACTGAAGCAGCAGCAGCAGCAGCAGCAGCTAGCAATGGAAATGCGGATGAAGACGACGAAGACGAAGATGTAGAATTTGAAGAAGTCTAATGGGTTTTTATTATACACGAATCCTGTACATTTATAAACTTTGATACATATTTTCGAGATTTATGCGGTTTCCTCTTGCTGATGGTCAGTCTGATTTGCAGTGGTATCCTCTGTAGCCTCTTCCTCTTCCTCCTCTTCCTCCTCTATCTTTTCCTCATCGCCATGTTGATTAATAAATGTACTTTCTTTCAATTTTCGTTCGGGGATAATCTCCATGAAAGCCTTCTCCCAATCACGACAATCAAGCCATTTCACCATGATTTCAAACACTTGGTTCACAGTCAAGACCTTTCTAGACGCCAAACGGATATAATCACCAATAGGCAATTGAGCAGTTTTGATGCCTTGACTTGCTGCCTTGTCGTTACATAGATTCTGCTCTGAGATGTGAGCACAAGCGCATTCGAAATTACAGGTCCTACTACATGTCAACTTGCCTTGTGTCGGTTTTTATCCACAATACCTCCAATAATGTATGTTTTACCCTCTTCCAACTCATGCGCTACATTCTCTGAATCAGCTGAAAGATAGATCAAATCTTCTTTGTTGAATCTATTCAGGTAGGGCTCTGAGGTCACTTGAAAATTCTTCCAGTTTTCCCATGAAGGCGCCTTGGCGTCCAATTGTTTCTTTAACGGTTCATCCAACGAGGTCAATGCCATTTGCATAGACTCCTTCTCAGCACGCACATTAGCACTGTAACAACGGACAATCTGTTGGCGCATAGAACTGATCTCCTTGTCGTTCATGTAGCTTGAAAATGAACAATCAAGAATGACACCGACTTTACCGACTGACATGTGCTTTGCTTTGGGTCTCTTGGGTAGAGGTTCTACAGCACCGTCTCTCTCCAATTGACGTCTTTCGGCTCTCTTTCTTTTGAACTTCTCTCGCTTGCCCTTGGTACGCTCTGATTTTGTCTCCTCCCATATTTCATCTCGTAGAATCTTCTTGATGGCATTTTTGCTGAGACCTTGGAATTTGGGATCAGTGATGTCGTACTGCTTTCCTTGATAAGTTCGGATGTTTCCCTTTGCTTCAGTTGCTTTTTCTGAGGCAACAGGGGAGTCTTTGTGTTCTTCTGCTGCTGCTGACATGATGAATGTATTGACAGCAGTAAAAAAAAAAAAAAAAAAAAAAAAAAAATATTTTCACATTTATGAAACTTTGAATTTAACGTTACACCGCTTGCCCGGGACAATTTAGAAATCATAGCAAGGCACAAAATGGAGAATCAACGGACGGGAGTCATTTCAAATGGATGCAAGCTCTGCATTTATAGCATCATAATAGTGCATGCTGGCATTTTAGACCCTTAGTAGATTCATCAGTAGCCAGGTAGCCTACAATCCTGGCTTGCTAACTGGCTGAATGAGTGGCACTGTCTCTAGTGTGGCAATGGCATCAGGCGGGTGTGTATCCCTCTGTTACAAGTATATAGTCGTTTGTTGTGTTGGCCCTGTGTACTCTTATTTTCTCTCAAAATAAACCAGCAGCTCAGCATTTTCATAATTTTCCTTGAATTCTATTTCTTGGCTTCTTTTCTCTCTCTTTCTTCTCCCAACAATGGCCACAGTTGGGTTTAATGCTTTATGGCTTTTATGTGTAATTTTACTACTCATTGCCTTCTTTTTAGCGATAAGAAGGCGTAGACTTGCAGCTCGTGCAGAAGGTATTGCCTCACATCATGTAAATAAATCAGCATTTAAGTGTTCAACCTATCTAAAATAGATCGAAACAATCAACTGAACGCAACCACATTTATACGGCATACAGGACAAGAAGTACGTATACACATGCCGTCCCATCTACACCCCTGCAACATGCCAGCAGCAGCAACGAACAACTCAACTGCCAACGCTCCGTATACGCCCATCCATACGGATGGCATTCAACCGCCACCACCTACATTTGATCCTCATGAAGATCAGCCCCCACCATCGTATCAAGACTTTAACAAAGACGTTAGAATTCAATCCTCCAGCAACAGTAACAACAATACAAATCCCCCTTAAATACACAAACACCATATTCCCCTTTCAACTTATTTATTCGAGTGTATTCATGTTTACTTATGCTGCTTTGATATGAGACAACAGATCCTCTTGTATATCCTCCTCCTCCTCCTCCTCCTCATCAACCACCTCCACTTCTTCGTCTTGCTGCTCCATTTCTCTGTTCATAAGTGCATCTAATAAAACTCTTCTTTCTGTCTTCATTCTCTTCAGTTTCTTTTGTGTGATTTCGTATTCGTCTTGAAGCATCTCATTCTCCCGTAGTATGTAGGCAAGTTGTGCTTTGGCAAGTCGATATTGGCTGTATGCGGTTCCCCGGTTTAAATCTTTTTTCAATGTACTTGTGGGGGCTGTGGCCACGTTGGATGCTTGTTCGGATAACTTGATGTCTTGGTGCTTTGAGTACCATTCATCCTGCACCTTATGCCGCTTATTTTTGGACAACATATCTAGTGAGGGTGTCGCCATTCGCTTGTTGTTTGTATTGATGTTGCCATCGTTGGTCTTTTTCTGCTTGTTGTTGAGTGGTGGTATGGTCGATAGCGATGATGATGGAGTATGGTTAGAGGAGATTGTTGTTGCGGCAGCAGATGCGGCAGTGGGAGTATTTAAAAGAGGTATGATATTGGCTGAATGTGCTGGCTTGATGAGTTTCTTTGTAACGCCTTCTCCATGCTCTGCTTTTTTGTGTCTCGTCAAGGCATCCATTCTACCAAACCTTTGAATTTGTGGGTATTAGTTCATTTCATTATTAGTATAAAATCAATGCAAAATGCGTTACGTTTGTCCACAATCGGGTGCTTTGCATTCAAATGGCTTTTCTCCTGTGTGTATCCTCAAATGCATGATCAGGGCAAATCTATTGTGACATTTAGCTCCCTGTCTAGAGCAATTGTCCCAGTCGCAAGAGTAGCCTCCCTTTTTCCAACCGATGTGATCTTCAGACAGATGGTCAGCGAGTGTCGTATGATTGGAAAAGACCTTGAGACATTGGTTCCAACGACACACTAACTGAGAGTCTTCTGTTGTTCTGGCTTCATGATGCTGATCGTGGTCTGCTATATCGTGGTGATGAGGAACAGGTAGAAATGGTGTTGTTTGTCGAAACGATTGTAAATGTGGATGTTCCGCCATCAAATGTAATAGTGTATTTCAAATGATTGAATGCAGAAAAGAAAAAGAGAAAGAGAACAAGAAGAAGAAAAAAAAAAAAAAGAGAGAATCGGGGAAGAGATATAAAATGAAAAGGGTCCTACTGCTGCTGCTGCTGCTGCTGCTGCTGATATGAATGATGATGATGCTGCTCCTCTTCTTTTGCTGCTTGGTTACACCTTTCTGCCCTTATGATTTAGACATCCAGGAAGGCAACTTGCTCGGGCAATCCAGCATCTCACATAGTCACAAACAGTCCGGATATTGAAAATTTTCTTTTTATTTGAAAGCTTTCCTGATTGCTGTTTGATCAGGAAATAGACATTTTTTTTTTTTTCAATAAAACTTGAATCGTTTCATCGTTTGGACATTATGGAGGCCAAGCTGGATAGAATCAGAAAACAAGCCAACTCCAAGTTGGCAAATCAGAAACTGGTAACGTCTTTTTTTTTCTCTTTGTGTAAACATTGGAGAAAGATTCCTGCATTTACTAAATCGACATGTCAAATGTTTAGTATGGTCAAACATTGGTCGCTATTGAAGAGGTACATGTTAAGTCATCGACTGATAAATTTGAATCGTTCTGACCAAACATGTGATAAATTTAGACTATTCGTGAGCAAGGAGAAGAGCTCTCACCCACCGCTTACTTTGGTGCTATGGTAAATGTCAATTGAAAATTTTTTAGATGACCAGCAACATGGGGGGGGGGGATCAATGTCTATTGTCATGGTGATGATGATGCAGATAGCTAACATTGCTTATGCTTAGATGACTACATTGCAATCATCTCAAGGATCCACTGAATTGGTTGGTGCTTTGCTTTATTTGTTGGATGAAGTTTTCCCTTTGTATGCAAATGTCTTTATGATCTACTACTGAAGATTTGATTAACCCCATTTCATAGCCTCCCTCACTCTGTGCTTAGATCAAAGTTTGCTGATATCATCGCCATCATTGAAAATGTATTTGAACAACACAAGGACGAGCAGCCCATTGTTCGCTCCATCATTGGTTGTCTTCAAGAGCTTTTAGCTGCTCAAGATGCTCCCAACTGGTCTATGCCTGTCACCAAGAAAGCATTCCAACAATTGCTCATTTTGAGTGCTAATGCTTCTCCCAAGGTAAAAATTCTGACACTAGACGTATGTAAACAGCAGAACTGACGAGAGTGGACAATGTAGGCCCGCAAGAGAGCTCAAGATGCCGTTCGCAATGTCTTGTCTAGACCACCTCCTCCTACTGCTATTCACCCTGCTGCCGACATGACATCTGAATTCATCCTCAGAGTGTTGCATGAGACCTCCAAATCCGACCAACACGCCGCTCAGCAAATGCTCGCTTTGCTTCAAACTATTGTGCCTTACTGGCCACCTCATGTAAGTAACTGATGATTTTGGAATGGGCTGAAGACTGATTTGGATACAGAAATTCTCAACTTTATGTCAAACTTTGCTCCAACTTCCTAAATTCAACAATATTTTCCTCACCAAAGCAGCCTTCGATGTGTTTGAAGCCCTCTTCGATGCTCAGGAAACTGATATGGATACCGAGAAATTTGCTGGATTGATTCGTGTAAGGGTTCTGATGACAGTGAGATGATCTGGAAAAGCGCCATTGACACTAATTTGATGAATAGGCTATTTGCGAATTGAAGCCTGCTGCTGTTGATGAACGCCTCTTGCCTACTTGGCTTTTGATCATTGGCAAAGCTTTCCCCTCTTACGCCAAGTGAGTCTTTTTTTTTATGGCAGTTATCATCTAAGTGATATCTAATTGAATGCGTAGATTAAACCCTGCTCAATGTGCCAACGATCTCGCTACTGTTTTTGCATTGATCTTCAACGATTTCCAACAAGATTCCAGATGTCATCGTCAAATTGCCAACTGTCTCAGCACCTTGATCGAATATTGTGTTACAGATGACATGGTTGAACAAGCAAGCGCTGGCCAAGCTAATGGCCTTTTAGAAATGATCGGTTTATTGGAGAATGGTCTTGGTGTTCATTTCCAAGCTGCCTGGGTACATGTCATGACGGTGCAACAAGCCATGTTTAACAAGCTCAACCACTATGCTGCTCCTTTGATGAACGGTTGTTTAGCATTGCTGGGTGAACTCCGTCTTTCTCCTTCTGAAGCCTACAAGGAACAACTCGACAAGACGCTTGGTGTTGCCATCTCCACCATGGGTCCTCAATTCTTTTTGCAAATCCTTCCTCTCAACTTGGAAAGCCCTACTTCCTCAAATCAAGTAGGTCGTGCCTTTTTGCTTCCCTTGCTCAAGACATATACTACCAACACAACCCTCTCTTACTTTGTCAATGTGCTGATTCCTCTGGGTGATAGACTCGCTCAAAAGGGAGAAGCTGCTGCTGCTCGTGAATTGGAAATGCAAGCCAAGGTCTACGAAACATTAGTCAACCAAATCTGGAGTTTAGCTCCTGGCTTTTGTGATTTGCCTGTTGATTTAATGCGTGCCTTCAATGACACTGTTGCTGAACGCTTCAGTTCTCTGCTCTATACTCAGCCTGATTTGCGTCCCACCATTGCTCAAGCCTTGCAGCTCTTGATTGAAAAGAACCAAGCTCTTGTCAAGTCCTCTGCGGACGATGCTCATCTGTTGAAGGCTTATGGTTTGACCAAGGCTCAAGCTAGCCAAAACTTGGAATTCATGAGTAAATTCGCCGTCAACTATCTTGCCGTCTTTTTCAACGTCTTTAGTCAAATCGCCCCTGCTTTCCGTGGTTTCATGGCTGAAGTCATCAAGTCTTACTTGACTGTTACTACAGCTGAAGATATCAATACCACCTTCAAGAAGGTGCTTGGCATGCTTTCTCAAGCATTAGAGTCCAATGAAACTGTCATCAACGATCCCTCCATGCCTCCTCCCATGTCTCATACCATGTTGGATCTTGCTATCATCATGATTCCTTTCTTGGACCTCGAGTCAGCTCAACTCTTGTACAACGGTACATTGCAATCTCTCTTATCAAAGGAGAGTGACCCTACTTTGCAAAAGAAGGGCTACAAGGTGCTTAACCATCTCATGCGCTGCGATAACGGTCGCCAGGTAGTTGCTCAGCATATCGAGGAATTACAAAACCACTTATTGGAAGCCACTGGTAGCTGCACTGGTTCCGCCAAGAAGGATCGTATCAAGACTCTAAAGGAAGTCGTTGAACTTCTGCCTGCTACTGACCTCCACTTTATTCCCGCTATTCTCTCTGAAGTTGTGTTAGCTTCCAAGGACAACAACGAGAAGACGCGTAACTTTGCTTTTGATTTACTGGTCAGCATGGGTAACAAGATGAAGGCCGGTGGTATTGTCAAGAACAGCCGTCTTGAAGGCTTTGATGAGTCTTTCCCTGATGCCAATGCTACTTTGGGCGAGTTCTTTACTATGCTTACCGCTGGTTTAGCTGGTACCACTGCCCACATGATTGGCGCTACTGTGGGTGCTTTATCTCGTGTCTTTTTCGAGTTCAAGGATGAGTTGCCCGTCGAGTTGGCCTCCGAATTATTACAAACGATCAACGTGCTTGCTGCTTCCAACAACCGTGAAATTGTCAAGGCTGCTGTTGGCTATGTCAAGGTCTGTATTGTTGTGCTTGACATTGGTATTTTGCAACCTCAACTGGGCGACATTGTTCGTTCTCTGCTCAAATGTCAACACCAACACAAGAGTCACTTCAAGGTCAAAATTAGACATTTGTTTGAAAGATTGATCCGTCGCTTTGGATATGAGCCTGTCGCTGCTTTGATGCCTGAGGATGATAAAAAGATGATTGTCAATATCCAGAAGCGTCGTTTGAGAGCCAAGAGAAGAAAGAACGCCAATGCTGCTGATGATGATAGCGACAACGATGAAGATGTCTCTGCCCGTGCTTCTGCCAAGAAGGGTGCCTTCCAAGATGCTTATGAAGAGGTCTTGTACGGCTCAGAAAGTGAAATTGACGATGAAGGCTCTGAGGATGAGACACTCAAGACTGTCAAAGCTGCTGCCACTGCGCTCAAGCAACAAAAGAAAAAGAAGCAGGCTGTTTCCAATGCATTCATTCGTGAAGATGGTGAGGATGGACCTCTTGATTTCTTGGATCGTTCTGCTCTGGGCCGTATCTCATCCAACAAACCTCAACAACGCAAGATCAAGAGCAACAAGAACGCCTTTGCTGAAGGCGATGATGGTCGTCTTGTCATTAATGAGCCTACACCACAACAAGAAGCTGAAGAGGAAGCCGAAGAAGCTGGTGAAGATTATTACATGCAACACATGACAAATCCTGATGGCTTTACTCGTGATAAGAGAAACAGAATCAAGTTCAAGAAGGGCAAGGATGCTGTGGATGATGCTATGGAGGTGGATGATGGTGAAGAAGGAGCCAAGAAGCCAAAGAGACCCGTCAAGAAGTTTGAAAAAATTGGTAAAGAATTTAGATCAAAGGTAAGTTGAATCTGGATCAAGTGGTGTATCAGGATAGCTCACATGTTATTACAGAGAGCTGGTGGCGATGTCAAGCGTAAGGGCCAAATGGATCCTTTCAGTTATGTTCCTTTGAACAAGGTCATCAAGAAGAAGGGAAGACGTGACACCAAGATTACTTATACTGGTCGTGTCAAAAAGTAGGATTGTAGTAGTAATAGCAGTAGTAAATATCAAGAATATTCCATATAGATGTAAATAAACACATATTTTTTTTTTAATTCATGATCATGCTTTCTTTTGCTGAAGATTTCGTATTTCATTCAGGGTCTTGTGCTTTTCCAATGTCATTTTCAATTTCTCCAATATCAGGGATTTGAAATGCAACACTGTCAATAATTCCTCTACCAATTTCAAATCACGGAATCCTAGAGATCATGCAATGCATTGGTAAATCACAACGCCACTTTGATAATCTGAGTTTACCTTGCTCTGCCTTCTCTACATATTCAAGAATCAGATGTTCGGTTTCTGGTAAGAGATCAGGTTAGTTTAGTTTAGTTTTTTTTTTCTTGCATTCAATTTCTCTCTGAGCAAAAACTTACGAAACATGCATTGCGCATCTAATGCCTTTGCATATGTCAAATAAAGGTCAGACTCCAAATGTTTCGACTTCATAATGAGCACTTTTGGAAAGATGCTCTCCAACATGAAGATTGACTTTTCCACAACGACAGATTGATTCAGGCGTAGATAGGCTTCAGCCAATTTGATAGTGGCTCTGTAGTAGTTTTTGGCATCAAATGAGCTTTTAGCTACTTTGATGGCTTGTGTCAAGAGAGGAATGGCCGTGGATGGTGTACTTAGTTTCTATTTTGGCCATTAGCGCGCTTGACGACGAAAATCATTTAATGGCTTACCAGATGGATAGTTGCTTGCAGAATCAGATTATCACCTAATTGAGATGTTCTGTCCGTCTTCTGAATGAAATCATGTACTTCATCAAGTATCAGTAAAGCTCTTTCAAACTCCTTTTTCAGCATAAGTTGATAGGCATGATCATGACAGGCGATAAAGTATTCTTCTGAATCCGGTGGTATGGTAAGTTGCAATAGGTCGTTTTGATGTTCAATCAGGTTGAATTTTCTAGCAATCGCTACAGTTTTAGCAAAATTGTATACATTCAACTCATTGACAATTTACCTCTTGCGTTCCATCTGTCGGGCAATGCGTGCTTTTGTCTGTCTCCAACCCATCAGAAAATCACTTTCGCTCTGATACCTCTTTGTAAATAAATCAAGCACATTAATAGCTTGGTCCAAGTTTCCCGATGCTTGCAACTGTAATGAATAGTCTTTTATATTAGTTACATGCAGTGGTCTTTATTGATGAACACTTGCCATATTAGCTTCGGTGATGATGGTCTTTTCAATGTCATCCAGTGATTTGTCGTTTGATGCATTTGCTAGGTCCAAATATGATTTTGCCAAGACGCTGTTGCCTGAAAATGAGCTCATGTTAATTATTGCTTCCATTGGAGTTTGGCATACAGTGATTACCATATCGATGCCATGTCAAAGACGTTGTCAGGAATTGAGCACGGTCCATGTGTTGTATGTCGTTCATGATGATGTGAATCAGACTCTTGTAGAGTAGTTCAAACACGTAACGGCATGGTTCTCCCTAATTGAAATGTATGGTTCATCGACAAATTGAATCAGAATGTACTCAAATACTCACAGTTCGTAGTAGATTGCGGGCTCTAGTCAGTGTTTTAAGATTGTTTAGATAGTCATCTGTATAGGAACTAAACTCATTGAATGGATGGTTCTTTCGACAGACTTCAATCCAGCTAGTACAAAAGTCAGCTCTGGCTATATTGAACATATACGAATGGCATCCTTACAACTGAACTTCTTGTAAACAAAGTTCGTCCTTGTTAGATCTAGCTGAAGATAGCGCATCATTCAAAGCCTGTTTGTATCATAAGTAAGTGCTAATGTGTATCAACTAATGCAAAAATAACCCACCGACAGTGCATTGAAAGAGTGTCCAAATTTATATTCCATGATACCCAAATGAAGCAGTGCATACTGTACGTTTCTATACAGATATCAGCAGCTAGAGAGACAAAAAGCCGTATACGCATGATACTTACACTCCTTTATCCAAGCTCATATCAATGGACAAATGCAAATGAGACAATGACTGAATGTACTCCTTGGTTCTGGTATAATTAAGGTATCTTACTTGTCGCAGGATATTGATGGGAGGCACTTGTTTCTCGAATTTATCGAGATAGGTGTGCAATACAGACGGACTAATGTTAGTTGTGCCTGTGCGTTCAATGGTCTCTGCTTGGTATCTCAAGAAGGCTGCTACATTGTAATCAGATATCCAGTGTGTAGTGATGTCTTGATTTGCAAACTCAGTGTCTCCTGCCACTCCATCGAGAAACTGTTGATATGCTTGAAAGATGTGTTGTAGCTGATCAAATGGAAGTGTCGCATACTCGATCCTGCATTTCCTCACAAACAGGCCCATCACACTTGATTTATCCTGTTACCATCATTTTTAGGGTTCCACGACTAGAGACAGCGTGATGGTTCATCATTTACCAGTTTCAATTTATCGTGTTCGTCCTGGAAAATGAATTAATGGGATATTCATGCAAATCATTGTTTCTTTCCTTGTACCTCTGGCTCAGAGTCTAAGAGTGGCTTCAGGGCTGTGTAGGTTGAGTCGACATCAGTAAGCATGGAAGGAGCATTTAACTGGCATTGTCCATACCATTCATAAATACATTCAAAAGATGCTGTGTCCGGATGGCTGTCAGCTAGTCCAAACGTCAGAATCAAACCAACATGGCATTTGTAGTAGACATGTACCTCATTTTCAAGAAACTGTAGTGTTGTCTCAATAACTTGGCGGTCATCACTCCAGTTTGATATTTCTGAGAAAATGTCCTTCTTTGATGGTTCAGAGCAAGTCTTTCTGATGTTCTCCTCGTTCTACGACAAACTAGTATAAATAGTGACATTTCAGATGGGTTGCTGTTTGATTTACCAGAATGCTCTTTGTGATGTAGATGGCAAGCTTCGGCAGCAATGAATCGTGTATACTGAATTTACAAAAGTTGTCAATCAAGACCAGTAATGCTATCCTGTACGGTGTAATGAATCCTACTTGAAGCATGATGTTGAAAAAAAAAAAAAAAAAAAAAAAAAAAAAAAGAAAGGACAAATATAAAGAAAGTCCATTCGCGTGGTAAAAAGCATTACCCACTGCAGACCCGGACAAGCAAAGCACGAGTCGGGAAACGCGATCAAAAGGTTTGGATTAACCTTCAAGTTTCTTAGTAAGGCAAGTGGATGCATAATAATGAAGGCAAATGCATGTTCATTTATATAATTGATTTGATTTGGGGTTAGGGGATATATTTGGGTGCTATTTACAGAGAATGAAATTACATTGTTTACTATGATACACATTGAGGGCATGATCCAAAGTCGTCGTTCTTGTAGAGTCCATGTTCTTGACAATGTGAACTGCAGCGAGTGCAATAATCTTGAGGGTCGCTCGTCAGACTACGATTGCAGCCAGGGCAACTGATTCTACAAGCATCACAGGCCCATCCCTTGGTCAGCGCCACACCACAACCACAACGGGTCTCTGAACCATCAAATTGATCATAGTCTTCATCGTCATTCTCGACAATTTCTTCGTTCAGCAGGCCCTTTACTTGATCGATATCATCTGTAGTAGCTGCCACACAGTAAGCAGAATGTTGCATGATGGCCTGTTTGATGTCTTGATGTGTGTTGTCATGTAGGATTGGAAGTGCTGGCGAGCTTTTTCTACGTGTCATTTTTGAGAAAGAAGAAGAAGAGCAAGAAGGAGCGTTGTTTACACAACGATTATAATGAATTGATAAAAGCGAATTAAATAAAAAGTTACACATGATTTTTAGGATTAGATTGAAGAAAAAAGAAAGGGCTTCTATGCTTCTTGATTCCATTTTTGAGTGCTCTTTATATAGAATGGGAAAGTCTGTCTGTCCTGATTTTACATCTTGTACTGTAAAACCAGTTTTTTTTTATACCTGTGGTTTCATATACTATTGTAGAAACCGAGGCTTGCTGTGTCTCGTTTTTGAAAGAGCAAGCAAGTTTCTAATGAAACATTTAGCCTTTCAGTCAGTCAATGAGTGAGTCAGTCGCAACGGCAGTAGGCGTATGTCAAGCTTCTTGTCGTAGTAGAGAGATAAAATCGCGCAGAACATGACATTCACTGTAGACATTCGAATCAGGATCATCATCGTGCCATGTTCCGATTGAAATCATTACAGAAAAAAGAAGTTTCTGATAATCTGTAAAAGACGATGATTTATGATGGAAGTCTATACGACTACAGAATAAAGTGGACATATTTAGTACAGAGTTGATTTTTTTTTTCGCGAATTTTGAATAGAAACTTCATGCAAGCGTGTTCTGGATTTATGAAGCCATGTACATCAATTTGGGGGGGGGGGGGAAACTGATGAGCGTCTGTCTCTAAATCAATTAGCAATTTCCTATACGAGGAAATGTTTACATTTGCTATTTATTCATGTCGCTGATGAATGAAACAAATTTGATGTTTTTCATTACATGCATACACATTCAAGATGTCAGTCAGCAGAGAACGAACCACGTTTCCAAGGGGGTTTTTTCCAGAGTGCTTTGAACATTGCTTTGAAAAAAGTGGAATGTTTATTTTCATGATTACAAGATTTGGTATACTTGATAGAAAGTTTCATATTTTACTAGTTCAGTTAGATGCACTATTCTTGCTCCTTTTTGTCTACGGGTATGATTTGGAAATGACGAAGACCAAGCTTAGATTTTCCATTCTGTTCTATCATTAGCTTGGTTTATCTGCGTCTTACAATGGTGCCTGAGTCTCAATACACCTTTCAGTGTTATCCGGCCAAGACCAAATGTCTTTGGCCACGACAAAACGAAAACCATGGCGTTGTTACTGCAGCGTGTATAATTTGTTTATCCTGTTATAAGATATATAATGTGTATATATACATGCTTAGAACAATCGTACGAAACATTTCATTTTAAATTTCAAATATGATACATTTTTATCGGTTCGGAGAGGCTGTTTACATTGCTTATGTGGCGGATACTAGAACACAGAGACTGTAACCGGATTTTTACTGATTTATGGTATCCAGGGAACAAATTGACGAGCAGCCGTTAGTTTATCATCAATTCAGGATTATACACATCCAGGTTGACTTTTCATTCGTGTGGGGATCACAACTAGTTGAAGCACTTTCAACATGATTCAAGGTGACACCATCCTTAAATGATGCCCACCTCACACTGACTTTGCGTGTAACCCATGCTATCACTACGCCATAATACAAGGTCGTTGTGTGTGTGTAATCTGCGTGCACTGATTTGAAAACACAATGTTGTGTGTCATTGTCTATACGTTAAAAACCATGCGGCCGACACGCGGATGTAGTCATCTTGATCTTCTTCAGGAACGCTATAAAAGAGAACCTGATTTCAGATTTTTTTCTTGTTCTCTTTACCTCTTATATCCCCACAAATGACTGATTCAATTACATTTCCTTCTGCCTCCAACATGTCTAAATTATCAGCATGTCCTACAACTAAATTACCTCAAGCTACAGACTGGATTTTCCAAGACTTCTTCAATACCATGTTGAATGGGGATGACTTGTTGACACCATCCATTCACATTGCAGAGTTGTTTCCTCAAGAAAAGTTGACAGAGGCTACATTCAACCTGTTACAAAGCACATTTTCTGACGACTGCTACGAAGCATGGCATGATAACAATCAAAGTTGTACCACCATGACAGATGACCACATCTCTTTGCCCGATCTTGAAGACCCCGCTAAGAATAGTTCTTGCTCTATCATGAATAGTAGTGATGACGAAGATGAAGACGAAGACGAAGAAGTACAAGACTTGGACATGTTAGACAATCATATTCATGGTGTCACCTTTCAATCGGACTTGCTCCAACTCTCCAATGTTGCCCCGGTCCTGATCGAATCAACTATATCATCATGTACAACAATGTCATCGGTATCGTTCCGTCAATCCATGGATACAGCAAATGTCAGCATAAATCAAACACTGACAAAGAGAAAGTCAAATTCATCATTCAGTTCCTTCAAGTCGTTTATGAGTGTATTCCACATTCCCAAGAAATCTAAGCTGGATCATGACTACTCCTCCATGTCGGTGCCTTCAATGTCTGTTCCGCTTCCTGCTCCTGCTCCTGCTACGACTATGATGGTGCTCAGCGGTCAGCAAAGGAAGCCTTCCTCCGCTTCTTCCTCATTCTCGAAAAGATTCTTGAGATACTTTAAGCGTCGCTCCTAAAGTAACTGTACCCCCATTTATACCTGTATATAGTTTCTCTCTGGCAGAGAATCCCCCCTCCCTCTTCTTATTTGACTTTTTACGTAATTTGCAACAATATAAAAGAATATTTGATATAACAACTTAATAATATACCTGTCTTTGTTTCGTTGCGATGAATGAATGAAGCATCATTATTACAAAATACTTGAGAAGCTGCTTAAACTATGTTCCATTTAGCCATATTTGGCCAAGGTAACTTCCATGACTGAGGGTTTTATCTCTGCAATTGAGCAAGTTAATTGAATGAAGAGGTGTTGAAAGCAGTGATAGTAAGAGCCATGCGGCTTTATACAGATGTTTGTAATCTTCCCATGAGTCCGTGCTCGTTTAATGCTCAAGGAAAAATGTCACATAACAATGCCAAGCATTGAAGGCGTTATGTGATGAGGTGTTTAAGCTGGGATTTTTGGATGTCGCCATAAGCGGCTTAAGCTTCGAGCATCTCCCCAGTACGTATTTCATTCAAAAAGATGCAAGAGAATAGCTACAATATCTTCAAGTAAACGGTACACTCCAGATCATTGGCTTTTGTCTCATTGGCCAAGATATAGACCAAGTACGTATTATCACCAGTAATAATGTGCGCATTGTCGTGATTTGGTCATTGTTGCTGCTACGTATAAACATCTCGTGAGCCAAGTAAGCGGTGAGAAACTGTGAATTCACATCATTTTTTGGAAAGTCAAACGAAAAAGACAGTTACGTAACTGAACAATGTTACCTCATCATTAATGATCATGTAGATATCACAATATTTCGATAATTCTTGAGCCAGTGCGCACGAATACGCACTTTTATACGAGACACATGTAGGGATTGAAAGAGTCAAGTTTAGAACATGATTCGGAAATGAACAGTTACGAACAAAGAGTCATCATACAATCGCTCAAAACATAAACGTCTCCTTGGTTATTAACGTGTTCCCACATTAATCTGCAAAGACTTCTTACTAGAGCCTATGGTCGTTTTTGAGTAATCATCCATCGCATTCGAAATACATGATGACAAATAAGAAAATCATTTTCCATCCAGAAAGCTTCATTGATACAACATCTTCAACGTTCTCATTTCGGGCATGTAATGGAAATCATCGTGCAACATTCAGAAACATAGCTGAAATCCGCATATCTCATTAAGCAATGCTCTAGACCTTGCAATCTAGAGTTAATTCGACATTTGCAACAATTAGAGAGGAGCCCCTTAAATCCAAATGTATTGTCTAAACAAAGGCATAGCTATGTACAGAGAACAACAAAACAGCATGTCACCCTCATGGTTAAACACAATGTCGCACGAAATTAACCAACTTGTGTTGTTGCGTTTGTTCCACAGGCAGCGCAAACGATCGACTAACACCTCATATTAAAGCTAAATTGCAGTGAACTCCTATTCCATTCAACATGCATACAGCATGAACACCAGTTTCAATTAACAATCAGATCGTAAATGTGTTTCTTGACAACAAAGCATTCTTCCTTTGTAAGAGAGACACACTTGTATTTCGAATACAAAATGTCACCGTATAAATAATAAGATATTTTTCTGATGGAGCTCTCAAAAAAAAAAAAAAGAACAACCACCATGTGCAAGTTCACAGAACCAATACCTGTTTTGTTAGACTCATGGAATGCAATCGAACACAAGCCATTATGTCTCAGGCTAATCTCCAAAAAGTTTAAAATTGAGATTGTTTCAGCTCTTTGTGATCCCCAACAAGATGTCAAATCAATGCTCATTGCAAGAGCTTTAGCAATCTATACATGCTTAAAGAGACGCGATGATTGCTGTGGCCTGTATTTATGTACTAGCTGATTGATCTCGCTCTGCGGACTCTTGCCGAAGACACTTCGAATCAGGGACAGTATATCAAGTAGATTTTAAACAATTAATAGTAAGATAAAGATTATGTCAGACTCAGGAGGGAGTGAGGGAGGTATCCACCTACACACCCCTTTGCTTATACACTGATATCAAACGAAAGAGTGATGTGAAAGAGAATTCAAGTTTTAGGCGGTATTGATAGACCACATTTTCTGGTAATAGAATTGCCATACCATTCACTGCTGTTGCTCTTGAAATGGTGACATAAAAATGGCCAGCGTAATCTTCTTCTACAGCGATTTCTTTTTTGAGAGAGTGTGTCATTGCAAAAGACATCTTTATAGAAAAAAAACTCACATGCTAAAACAGAACAAGTATTCAAGCTAAGCAATTGTTCTTTAAGTTCATGATCCTCATTTAATCAGCATCGCAATCATCATTGTTATCATCATTGCCATCATCCGAAAGGCATTTGGGCCAGCCAGCAGCAGTGCCGCCCGCCAAAATTGGTTCAAGCTCAGCTTATTTTCTTCTGTTCAAGATTGGGCAGATATTGTCCTTTTTCGACTTCTTTAATCTATTTTGGGATATCCGACTATATAAATTGTAATGATCACCCTACGCTTCCTAATACATTCTTGAAGCACTTTTCAAGGCGTTTCCAATGGTGCTAATTGTTATAAATGTTTTGACTGAAATTATTGAGCAATTTAATACAATTTGAAATGAGGTTTTTAGCGAAAATAGCCATATTTTGCATATGAAAACCTCATAAAAGTGGTTTCAGAGGTTGCATTGGATCGATAGAAACATTTTAATTAAATATACACCATAGTAAAAGTCTTCATTTTTGAGGTGAAAAACGCGATTGTTTGATTTTCAATGAAAACCATGAGGGGTACCTCATGCTTTTTGGTCGAATTTTGACAATGTTTTTTTTAATCCCCAAAAAGTTGAGCAAAGGTGTCAGGAAGTTACTGCTACTCGAGTACAATTGTTTGGCGTTATTCCGGTGGCTCAGAAAGGCCTACATGCCAAGATATAGAGGCTTGAAAGCTGTCAAATTTGGTTATGTTTTTGTTGTATAGCTTTTATTTACACGGCATGAATCACATCTTTGGTAGCTGTAAATTACTGGAAGGGTAGTTTTACAGCCTGTGCAACTTCTAAGTCGAACAGGAGGCACATTAGTTTTTTTAAAGCTAATTCATGCAGATTTTGATGCGTTATGTTGTTGGTGGTTAGCTTATTAATAGTAGGAATGAAAGGCTGAAGTTGCTGCTTAAATACTACGGTCTTGTATCTTCGTTTCGCTATAGTAAAATGATTATTATTAGGACCAAAGCTAAAAAATATTAGATTGGATGTTTGATTGTTCTGGTTTTGCACCTTTGCTTTGTTTGGTAAACCCCCCCCCCCCCTGATAGGCCGATGTTACTAAATGTTAAATTAGATGCGTTTCGTTCCTGGAAGAGGCTATTGAACTGTGATTGATAGATTCACTAACATTATCAATCAGATGCTCAAATCGTTGCCACCCAGCCCACGGTCTTCTACAAGGCACCTTCTACAGATTGCGGAGTCGTACTTTGTCTGCATGTCTTTACATGATTCCAAATATTGACATCTGTCCGTGCTGGTCAAAGCATCCCCCGCAGTTTCGCCGCCATCAAGAAGAAATGATCCAATAATCCAGCCTCAAAGGTTATCGCTCTTCGCCCAAAGGATATACCGAGGGTAATGTCAATGTGGACTTGATGTAAATATCATGTTACTAATAGCACGTTTTACAATCAATTTTTCAAAACTCCATATAATTTTGAAATAAAAAGGTAGTAGTTACTTCATTGTTAAAGACTGAGGTATTGCAAGTACTGTTTGACCAAATAGTAATCTTGGATCATGATATACAGCCTTCATGTAGTCTGTCGGATGTCATCTTGTGTTTTGATGTATATGCAATACATTGCCTTTTGTTGCAAACCAGTCTTATGCAAAGATCTTGGCATTCATATACATACTTTTTATAGCAATTGTCGTTCCTAGCTGACATGCAATGAATGGTACTAATGGGGTCACTTTTCAACCTTGAAATAAATGTGTATATTGAGATAGTCAAGGAAAAGGTGTCTTTAGAGCTCATTTAGCTTGTCCAGTAGCACATACTTGGATGCATATGCAGTGGTCTTTCTAGCTGATACGCATGCAATTCTTGTCACAAATGACTAAATCCATCTGTGTGCACTGCGTTGCATGGTTGATGTTAAAACATCTGTATGCTGAATAGCAAGATGGAATAGTGCCACGATTGGTCCTGTTATTGAGCCTCAATGTAACAAGTTGTTGCACATTATCGAAAACTTGTTAGTAGCCTCAACCATTCACCTTATGGCCAATAGCTACTTTGTTGCAGAGAAGGCGGAAGAGGGTTGCTTTGTAGAACCTATTTCATATAAAGCCTCAAAGTCGTACTATGTCCTGCTCTCATCCCAGACGATTCGCAGCTGTGCATAGAGCGAAACGATAATATACACTCTAAAGTGAAGCTTTGGAGTTGGATCAAAACCTTATATCCCATGTAATTTTGAGTAAGGTTAGTAGCACAGACTGATAACCAATGAATATCAATGAGGTAGCGTGTACCTAATATCGATGTCGAAATCTGTTTGGATCACATATATATGTATCCCGGATTTTGCTTACATATTTGAATAAAGGAGGCTAAATGAATCATTTGTATGCTCCTCTACCATGAGTGGTACCTGATTTATGAATCATGTCTCTCGCTATATGTGGACCAATACTTTGGAAATTCCACTTTCCTTTTATGATGATAAAGCAAAATGAAGTGATCAATGTTATCAATCGACTTGATGGCCTAAAGAGCTCCTCTTTAAAAAAATGTACCAAAGACGATGGCTGTTAGTCATTCAGGACTATATACTCAGCTGTTACGCAGCATTAATTATAAAGAACACTCATTATAGGGAGAACAAGACAAACATAGAGCTATTAAGGGGAATAATATACGAGTGTTTATTTGAAAATAAATGCAATCTAAACTTTACTTGCAACACAACGTTCGCTGAGCAACTTTATACTATTACGTTCATGTGCTGCTTGTCTACAGCTCATCAAATTTTCACAAACATGATCTTCTGGTAATCTGTGTCGAGAGCAGAACTTGTGTTGACAGTATCTACAATCACCAATAATCTTGACCACTTTATCAGAACAACTTGAGTATGCACATCTACTCTTCTTTCTTGGTGCAGGCTTCTCGTCACTTGCTGTTGTTGTTGATGAAGAATCACCTGACATGTTTCCTCCACCACGAAGACGTAATACTAAGTGTAAAGTGGACTCCTTTTGGATATTGTAATCTGACAAAGAACGACCATCCTCTAATTGCTTGCCGGCGAAAATCAGACGTTGCTGATCTGGTGGGATACCTTCCTTATCTTGAATCTTTTGCTTGACGTTGTCGATGGAATCGGATGATTCTACCTCTAATGTAATTGTCTTGCCAGTGAGGGTCTTGACAAAGATTTGCATACCACCTCTTAAACGAAGCACCAAATGGAGGGTGGATTCCTTCTGAATGTTGTAGTCGGAAAGAGAGCGACCGTCTTCTAATTGCTTGCCAGCGAAAATCAAACGTTGTTGATCTGGTGGGATACCCTCCTTATCTTGGATCTTTTGCTTGACGTTGTCGATGGAATCGGATGATTCTACTTCCAAGGTGATTGTTTTACCAGTGAGTGTCTTAACGAAGATTTGCATGTTTGTTTGTTTGAATATAGTTATTTTTTCAGGAAAAAAAAAATTAGAGAAAAGGAATCTGACGAGCAGAAAAATCAGCATTATTTATACCAAAAACTTGCACAAGGAAAATGATGTTATTCATCCTTCTGCAAATACCAATCAACTTGCTCATTTTCGAAACATTCCCTTATTAGGACGGCATTGGAAGTGACCAGAAGGATTGTATTTTCAATCATCCCCTTTGGCTCTTCCGCAATTATCCTCAACGTTCTAATCATAGTCTTAACATATATAGTAAATGTCCTTACGTTAATTGACAAATAAGATTGATTCATTGTGTTCATTAATAATTGCAAAGCATATCCATGTGGTGATATCATTGACGTCTTTGAACGAAATTTCGTTGTAACCCATCACACATTTTTCTCTTTTTCCATGCGATATTTTTTATGCAAGCGTAGCTTTGAGAGAAAAGAAATCTTAAATGCACAATGTTAGAAAAATGGAAAATTGTACCAGGAAAAAAAAAAAAAAAAATCAGAAATTCCAGTTTTATTATTTTGATTGATTTAAGCAATGAGCTCAACAACACCGCCAGCTTCCTTGATCTTCTTCTCAGCGAGGCGAGAGACGAAACGGGTGCGAACGATGACGGGTTGAGAGATGGTGCCCTTGGCCAAAACCTTACCGTAACCCTATTGATTTGGAGCACATTAGTTTATGACAAATGTCAGAACATTACCATTGAATTACTCACCTTTTGGAGGGCATCGATGACAGGGACCTTCTCGGTGTTCTTGTATTGCTCACGAACACCTTCACCGGCGAGAGTCCAGATTTGATCAAGGTTGACAACAGGACGCCAGTTGACGTTGTTTTTCAAGTGGAATTGACGCATACCGACCTTACCAAAGTAACCAGGATGGTATTTATCCATGTTGATACGGTGATGGTGTTGACCACCAGCAAGACCACGACCACCAGGATGCTTTCTGTGCTTGCCGACACGACCGTGACCGGCTGAGACGTGTCCACGCTTCTTTCTGTTGTGATGAAGTCTGGTAGGCTACATGGAGTTCATAATCAGTGTCAATTGGTATTAAACAAACTGCCAGATCCTCAAGTAAAAGATGAAGAGAGAATGGATAGACGTGAAAGCAGCAAAAGATGTCGAATTTGTCATGATGTTCATGGCCTATTTCGAATGATTTGACTGAATAACGTTGAATATTCATAGAACGAAGAGTGAAATAGAGTTTTCTGGAATCCATCGCAAAATCCATCCATTTAATTCAACATCTGTTAATCCATCGAACAATTCATCCATCCGCATCTTTTACTCTTTTTTCGATTCCATTCTACTCATTGTGTCTACTTGAAGTCTGGTATGGATGCGAGGAACTCACCATTTCAGTAAAAGAGGAGGAACTATCAATTTGCTTGGTCTCTCATTGATTTTGTCTTTCTCGCTCCTAATCAGATCCCTATATCCCCCTCCCACTCTCCTACTGCTAGCAGCTAAAAATATCCCCGGGCCATTTGGGTCCGCACCGTAAACTATACTCGCTTTTATTGAATTAATAGCTTCAAATCAATATTCAACTTGTCTTTACACACATCTTGATAGCGTTTAAAATGGGCTAGTGTCGTTTCTTTTTCAGGCTTTTGAATAGCAAAAGACGTCAATGCTATTAATCCTTTTTGGCCCGACCTATCGTGGAAATATATCACTGACAACATGGTTGATATTTCCTTTTCAGTGTTAGGTAGATGGCCTGGATAATCTAAAATAGTAGCCATGCTCTCTTCTGTCACTTCTGTATCCGTTGTTGCTGTTGCTGTGTTAGACATGATGAATGCTAGTTCTGGCAATGTACTCTGCTTGGTTTGATAGATGAATATACAGCCACTCAAAGCTGATTCGGGTGTCACGGCATGCTGAATGATGTGATAGTCCAGTGTTTTTTCCTTCATTGCGTAAAGCACTGGTTCTACTACAGTCTCGAGGTAGAGTTTGTTGATTGTCTCATCACAGAACTCGACTAGCACTGCTGGTTTCAATCCGAGTAGTGCGAAACCAAACTCACCATACAATAGCATGTCTTCTGGTTTTAGATCTCCAGCAAATGTGATATGCTGGATGGTCTTTTGGTCCAAGTTTTTCCAGAATTGCTGTTCTAATAGTGCGAAATACTCGAATGCTTGCTTCACTTCCATGATATGCTTGGTTACTAAGGAAAGAGATGTTGCAATCAAAGAATGGCAGCATTTGATGACTATCTTTGTGACGATGATGAAGTTTAGGTAGTATGCTGATGCTCAGCACAGAAAGTGTCGACAGAAATTATCCAAGGCACACGCATGCAATTGGCCATGCTACACCGCGCTAAACATCTTCGCATGTATAGCGTTCTTGAAGGAACATTTAGGATAGCCTTGCTAAGATTGCACTTTACAAACGTTGCCGCAACCTTCTGGAAACCGAAGAAGGGCTATGGATGAAAGAGTCAAAGTTTTCCTCGTACAAATATTAAACGAATCGTCTAGAATCTTGCATGCATTTTAATTTTGGAATCTGCAAGATGAAGCCGGGAGTCTGTCAAATGTTTTATTAATAGCATGTTATACGTTAAAAGATTTTCCAAGTTTCCACAGATGATGGTCTGAGCCGATAGCCCCTAATCGGAAGGCCTTTCATTTGAAATGCAGCATTGTAGAACGGACAGAAAGGGCCAAGTATAAATACATATTTTTCTCCCTTCACTTCTGCTGCGCCTGCTGATGTGATTTTGCGTATTTATGAGTCCAAATAAGATACCAGTTCTAGAAAATTTAGAGAACAGAGAGGGGTACAGTAGCATTGTCCCGGCAAATCCATACATCAGCTAGATCTAACCTTATCCAAACATGTAAAAGCTTCTTTGATATGCCCGTCGATACCAGTGCTGATCTCATTGTATCAGAGGGAGCAGACTCGAAAACACATTCTGATCAACAGCCTCGTGCTCATCAACAAACCAGTCGACAAACGAATTCTCAAGGCGAAACGAGCATCACCTTAAACAGCAGCTCATGCAGTAGCGACAGTTTGAGTGAAGATGAAGTCCATCTAAGTAAGAAGACGTCTTATTTTCCAAAACATTTGGGACATACGCTGTTCACCTCACCAGAAAGATACCAATCCAAGACTAACCATGATGATAAGACTCATCCAGAAGCGCCAAGTGAAACAAAGACAGAGAGGATTATAGGACGCATTCAAAAAAGAGCCCCTGGGCGCATCATACGGCGAATTCTGAAATGTACCATAGCTTACTTTATATCCACATTGTTCAGCACGATTGATCCTTTAGCAAAGGCATTGGGCCAAGCCCCGTTCATTGTATGTTCGGGTTGTCTTTTAAGTCATCCTGGCCGAACTGTTGGGGCACAACTGGATGCCACAATCACATCAGCATTGGGAGCAGGGTTAGCTATTGTCTATGGCTTGGCTGGTATTGCTGCTGCAACGTCGTATAATGCCCAGCATCCTAACTCGTATGCTGGAAATGGTATCAATTGCTTGTTTCTCGTTGTGGGTGTATTTGCTGCTCAGTTGATACGTCAAAAATTCTCCAAATTGCACTTTTTCTCATTGCAATTTATGGTCGTCTTGCTCTTTTCCATGACAGCGGGTGTAGGCTATAAATCGGTGCCGTTGAGGCTCTCGAGCGAGTTTGGATTGCCCTTTCTGATCGGTGCTTTCGTGTCTCTATTTGTAAATGTAATATTCTGGCCAGAAACTGCTGTTGATGGCCTTGGTATGTTGATGTTTCTTTGGCAGTTCACTTGACAGATAACTCACTCTGCATTCGACAGGTCGAACGCTGAATCAGACACTCTATGATACCAAAGATATGCTGAACATGATTACAAACCAGTTTTTCCTTAATCCAAAGTCTGAAAGAGTTTCTGAACTAGCTGTAGATACACTGGCCGAGAAGATGAGGGAGGGCATGATGAAAGTCAATACAGCATATAAAGAAGCCAAATACGAAGTATCTTACGCCTACTCTTGCTCTTCAGACTTAAACCCAATAAGGCAATCTCTCAATATCGTTACAAAACACCTCAGCATTCTTGGTAGAAGCCTCAAATCAGAACAAGTGCTATTTGAACGCAATTTTTCATCAGAGGATGAATCTAGTCGACACAGCAATATACCCCAAAGTGATGAAAAGGACAGCGAGATGGAGACACGCCCTACTTCTGGACCGGAAACTTCAAAAGAGACTGATATAGGTAAGGCGGCTTTCACAGCTGCCAATTCTTATATGCAAAGTGGTAGCTACCATAGTCCATATAGCCAGCACTTGAATGATCAGCACAGCAGTAAGGATATACATCAGAAAAGTGTGCAATTCGAACCGGATAGTAAACAGCCATCTAATTCAAGAGGGAAAACAGGCCATGAAGATGAATTCCACCCTAATGAGCCAATGGATTGGCCAGATCAAAGAAAGAGCTTACCAGCATCATTGAGGTCAGTTTTCTCCACCTCACAACCTGGCACTCCCAAAGGTGAAAGCAAATCCTCAACGCACAATCCTCATCAACAGCAACCGCAAGAGAGTCTTTTTAAAGAAGACGAAATGTCAGATTATAATCAACACACTGTGCGCTCTGTGAGATCCTTTCTTAACCTCAATCGACTGTCAGGAACGCTGCCGAAGCCTCCTCAGAGACCCGACAGACATATCAGCGCAGACGATCGACAAGTGTTGGTGACTTATTTGGAAAAGCTGAGAGACCCTCTACTTTCACTTGCAGTGGAATGTGGTGCTGTGCTTGATTGTATTCGAGATAGCTTGTGCGAACAGCTTGACATGTCCAACAATAGTGATGCAAGTATTCGACACACAAGCTTCTGTGCTTATTTGCTTCATACGTTGCAAATCAAAACGGTGCACACGGAAGACTATCAGAACTTTTTAGACAAGAGGAAACGCAATGCTTCATTTCTGTGCAACTGCTCGGATACGTTGCGTTTACGTATTCAGCAATTCGATCAGTGCGAAAAGGAGCGCATGCAAGCTCTGTACAAAGTCAATCTATCGCATATGCGTGGAGAACGGCTAGATATGGGTATTCGTGATGAGCTATTCTTGGTCTTTTTCTTTATATTCACCATGCGGGAAGTGGCGAGCAGTTTGGAGCAGATGGCTACCGAAATGAGAAAGCTGCAAGAAAAGACACAAGCACAAATGAAGAAGGACAACAAATACAAGAAGAAGAAGACGCTTTACATGCCACAGGTCACCACTCAAACATGGAAAAAATGGTTTTACTCTAATAGCTACCAGGAAGTCCAGGACCACGGTGGATACTCATTTGGCTATTTGCAGCACAATATGCTTACAAGTGTTGGTCAGAGAGATTTGGAAGAGGAGTACAAGCTATCCCAAATATCCACCAACAGAAACAACAGTAATATGGCAGCTGTTGATACAGCAGATGATATATCTGTCACTAGTTTCAATAATGCCAGTGTATCCTACGAGTCAACAGCTAAGCCGAGAGGAAGTATCAAGAAGCAAATGGCGGATGATGCTATCATATTGACAGAATTAGAAGCGGGGCCTCGGCAATCTGCAAACGAACATTCAACTAAGCCGCCCCCCTTACTGAGGTTAAGATATCGTCTATGGCTGATACTGAGATACCTCCAAAACTATGAATTCAAATTTGCTCTCAAGTTGTCTGCCGCTGTAGGTATTTTAACAATTCCAGCTTGGCTACCAGATTATCAGCCTTGGTTCGCTGCCATTCGAGGTCAATGGGCTGCATTAACGGTAAGCGATTGCTCTGACATTTGATTCACATTTCTCTAATATCATGTGTTCTTATAGGTTATCTCTGTTATGGGTCCAACAAGGTAATATTTGAATATGGAATTGTCGACTCATTTTGCTGATTATTGCTCAAACAGTGGTGGCACTTTGTCAGCTGGCCTTTGGAGATTGGCGTCCACCATTATTGGTGCGTTTGCAGCCTGGGCAGTACTGGAAATAGACGGTGGAAGTGGGGTGCTACTCTCTGGGTTCGCTGTAGTCTTGGGTAAGTATCGCCCAGTCGATCAGTTATTACAAGTCAATAACATACTATAGCTTTGCCATTCTTTTACATTCATTTCTCGACGTCTTACAGCAAAGTAGCAATCATCACATTGGTCACGTACATGATCATTGCCCTGAGCCAATATGTAACGCCATCTTATCCTGAACAAGTTTCAAGCATGGTTTGGTAATATGTGCACTCAAAATGCCTTTCAAGCAGCTAACTTTATCGTAAACTCAGGCAACGAACACTAACATTAATCATCGGTCTCTTTGCTGCATTGATACTTAATTGGATGGTTTGGCCATTCATAGCTCGTGTGGCCATCCGCAAGACACTGGCCAGCGCCATTGGGGATCTGGGTGATTACTTTTCTTATGTCATGGGGACTTTTCTGTACCATAAAGAAGGTTTATTTCCTACGCAAGATGAGTTCAAGGAAGCTGAAAGGATGGAACGCAAACTGGAGAAGATGCTGAATACATGCAACGTACTACTCGAACTCACGGACCATGAACCGAGATTGAAGGGCCCATTTCCAAAAGAATTTTACCGAGAAATGCTTATTTCTGCACATAACTTGCTAGATAGGATGATGAGCCTGAGAATCATTCTGATGAAAATGTCGCCTAGTGTCAAGAAAGATGTCAGAGGTTTGGACATTTATCATTATCGAAGAGACATGGTGAGTTAATTGCAGTATGCAATTAGGTATACACAGTGTTGATTATTCAATCACCCTTAGGTAGCATCCATTTTGTTACATTTCTATACGCTATCTGCCTCGCTGAAAGCAAAGATACCATTACCGTCATTCATGCCATCAGCTCGCGCTGCAAGATCACGGGTTTTACGACACAGACGTCAAGAAGACCGGCCAGAAAAGCTGCTTCGTTATCGAAATCTGACTTGGTTTGCCATGGGATGTTCCACTGAAGAGATCATTAATGAATTAGAGCATTTGACAGATCTGGTGAGATTCATCGTGGGTGATTCCAAATTCACCTTTAAAGCAAGACGCTTGGAGAGAAAAGAAACCATTCGCAAGAAAGCTATTTGATTGCTCATGTTCTCTTCTCGATCACTGAGATTCAATAGCACCCCCTTCCTACCAAGTTTTTGTTGCGTGCAGGCAAAATAAAGCAGACGACTTTTTCTTTTCCCTTTCAATCATAATTCATCTAAAAATGGCAGATACTCCTAGCTCAAGATTTGGCGAGCTGCCCACATTAGAACTGCCTTCTTTCTTGGAGTTCTTGAAGCTAAAGAACTTTCCATTGAAAGTGTATCCTTCAGTGTATGAGCCTCCTCGACCTACAAAGGACACCTTGTTCATCTACGGCCCTGGTTATAGAAATAACCAAGCGAGTTTTGATGTCGACTGCCTTGTCATTCAGGTAAGTGAATTGGCTGCATTACTGGGCAAAAATTAACACGATCTATGCTGTTAGATGTATCTCAAATTCTGTGGCATTGATTTCCAAGTGAACAACATCAACGAGCCAGCTGCTTCGCCTTCAGGTAAGATTGTTGTAGTGCATTTTGGATTGCTTTTTGATGCGAATCAAAACACAGGCAAATTACCCTTCTTAGCCACAGTATCCGGCTCCATTTACAATGATCAAGAAACTGTCAACTGGGTCAAGGAAACAAGGGTAATACTTTTCACTAAAGAAGCTGTCAACTGAAGCTGATCCATTTATTCTTGATGCAGAATTTGGAAAAGCATTTATCAAACGACAAAGACAGAGAACAAGCCAAAGCATTTGTAACACTTGTCGAGACAAAACTCAAAGCAGCATTGGTAAAAAAAAAAAAAAAAAAAAAGGGACATATTGGTGGTGTACAGCGTAGAACTGAAAGTAATCATTGCAATGGATTGTAGTTATTTTCCATGTGGTTAGAGCCATTGAACGCCAATCAAACGACATATAAATCTTACTATGGACATACACCTACTCCCGTCAACATGATAGTGTCCTACAAGAAGCAAAAAGAAATTGTTCAGAGTTTGTTGACGGATCGTGACATTTTGGTCAGAGAGGAGGTAAGACGGATTCATGTTGGGTGAGAATTTGGGACTAACGTAGGGGAATGTGGGTAGATCTATCAAGACGCTGCGCAAACATTAGAGGCTCTTTCAGTAAAGTTGGGTGATCAGCCTTACTTTTTCGGATCAAGGTAAGATTTCGAACACAATGAGGAATAGAACGCAGGATACTGAATCGATTCGACTATGCAGTGAACCAACATACATTGATGCCGTTATTTTCTCCTATCTTCACTCCATTCTAAGCATGCCAAAGATTGTGGATGGTGATTTTCCTGAGGAAGAAAGAAAGCAAGCTGCAACATTGAGTAAACTAGCCCGTAAGCATGAAAATTTGGTGAAATATGCAAAGGCCATCTATGAAAGTTGGTTGAAATAAACGATTGTTCGCAGAGTATCATAAAGAAATGCTTACTGCTTACATGCCATGTTGAAATGCTGCAAATCATGAATAGAAAATTGCGATTACATATATTTTGGTGTTGAGCCAGGCTGGCTGGTGTTGTCAGATATGAAAATGATCAACAAAAGCAAAAAAAAAAAAAAAAAAGAAAAAAAAAGTATTCAGACCAAGCAATAGCCCTTCCAGGTTCATGACCCCATTTAATCAGCATCTCAATCACCATTGTCATCATCAGAAAGGCATTTTGATCAGCCAGCAGCAGCGACGCCCGCCGCCAGAATGGATTCAAATGCCGTCAATTTTCCCTGCTTAAGATTGGCCAGATTTTGCCTTTTTTTCAACTTCTTTAAACGATTTTGTGAGATTCGACTATATAAACTGTGATGATTCTTCCACCCTTCATTAAGCTACGCCCCTGGTGGTAGGGCGAAGTGGTAGAACTCCCGTATGCCAACGGGAGGATTCCGGTTCAGATCCTGGTGAACGCAAGTTGTTTGATTTTTTTGACGTATTACTGATGTCCTCGTTTGGTGTTTTGTACTCTTATCCATGATCTATATTTTGACAATTTCCGCAAGACTGTACTGGCTCTAGGAGTCGCACCTTATTAGTAGTAGATCTCTTTCCCAACTTAATTCAAAAATATCTTATTCCCCTTCATTGCAGACATTGGGTCCACCAACAGTCTTTTCTATCCCTCAGTATGACATTTAAAGGACTTTAAATAAAACCTGGAGCTCGTCTCCCCTACAAAAAAAAAAAAAAAAAAATGCTTCCTTAAGCTCTCCTGGAGTACTTTTCAAGGTGCATCCAATGGTACTAAGTAAAATAGATGATTTGAATAAACTTATCAAATGATTTATGAAAATATGAAAAGAGGTTTCTGGCTAAAATGTCGAAATTTTACATATCAAAGTCCCACAAAGATAATTTCAGAGGTTGCTTTGGATCGATAGAAACATTTTGATTCAAGATATACCATAGTAAAATCTCCATTTTCAAGGTGAAAAACGCGATCGTTTGATTTTTGATGAAAACCATGAGGCACCCCTCATGGTTTTCGGTCGATTTTTGGCCATGATTTTTTTTTTTTGGCCTAAAAAGTCGAGCAAAGGTATCAGCAAGCTACTACTACTCCAGTACAATTGTTTGGCACCATTCCGGTGGCTCAAAAAGGTCTACATGTCAAGATATGTAGGCTTGAAAGCTGTCAAATTTGGTTATGTTTTTGTTGTATAGCTTTTATTTACACAGCATAAATCACATCTTCATGGTATCTATTTACATGTTGATAAAGTTCATTTACATATGCCCCATATTTGCATAGCTTATTATTGTATTCAAACTACGGTATTGGTGATTCAGGTACATCTACATGTGTGTGGAGTGAACTAGACTAGATTCCAATCATAAAAAAGATCCAAAAGAAATGTCATCTCAGTCAAGCCATGCTACTATCAGCATATAAGCATATATAATAATAGTATTAGCATGATGGTAGCAAGGGTAAAATACTCTAAAGACAAGAGACGACAGATACTGAAGTAAATGCCAAAGGCATTGTGATGTGTTGTTACATAAATAAACCTAAAAAAAAATGCATGTTCAACAATAAGAGCTATTCTTTACGCATGATGATCCACAAACCATATATTGAAATAATACCGCTCTTGATCCATCAGATCACAACTAAATAACAATGATAGAGAAAATAATGGAATTATTGGCAGCTACTAAGAAGCTGCTGCCAGATAAGAGATATAAACCAAGCAATATGAATAGAAACGTAGAATATACATTTTATGGTACCTTATCCTAATTTTTAATGAAGAAAGATTTTGACAGTATTTTATCTGCTTTTTTAATCCCTTTTTACTGCAGTGTAAATACAACATGTTTCCCAAAACCGAGTCCATCAATCTATGGCTCGTAATCACTTGTAGTTAACAGCTTGCAATAGGTTTTGTACATAATAGTAGGCATTTGTTCGAAATTATCTTATTTCGAATATCATCAGTTTCTGAACAACAACCCACCATCATCCAAATACAGTACTAATATTGTCCTCGCTATGCTGCTATAAGAACAATGCTACCTTCAGAGCTCTTCTAGCATCAACATTTTAAAACTTGATATTGGATGGCCCAAACCTCAAAATTAGAAACAGTTTTGTACATCCAAAATGTAGTATGGGGTAAAAGGCAGCAACCCGTAAAACTGAAACATGTTGGGTGCCAGAAGGGCTACAATTGTCTATAAAGATTAAGGTATTCTTGATGGGTAGATACGTCTGTTTTGTGCAACAACATGGACAAGCTATGATAATTGATATGCATCTCAGCTATCTAAATGCTGAGGTTCACCAGATGCGATAAGCGTTGTACAAGATAAATTGCTACTTTGGCATTCAGAATTTAGTATAAATAGAATAACTCTTGTCTTCATCAATAAATGTTTAGTTTTTGTGTCTGATCTTATTCAAATAAGTCTTTTCTTGTTTCTGTAATATTGAACATTTTTTATAAGCTACAAATTATAATCCATTTATTCTTTGTGCTTAATATTCTTATATGAAGCTCATCACTCAAAGTTGGGTTATTTCCATAATCATCTATTTCTTAGCATCAAACCCATCCAATTTAAAGTATAGCTACACCAGCGTTTTTCTCGTTACAAATTGCTACAGAATTATGCTACTTTCAGAACGCAAGGAGTATTAATACTTCAAAGTCTGATTTTGGATAATACAAACCCTGAAATCGGAAACAGTTATTCGAAAACACTTTTATACATCCAAAATGTAATAGTATGGGGTAAAAGATAGCAAATCATACACGACGACGTATGCTTCGCAAGGCATATCGCATTGGGAGGACTTGGTACCTAGTGTACTGCTCTAGCTATATGACTTTTCTCACATAGTGACCTTATTAAAGAATATTCCTCGCATAAAACTGTGCGATAGATGTCAGATCGAATAATTGCATTTTGTCTTACTTTTGAATAAAGAAGAACTTAAATTGTATCTATTTAGATACCCTTTTATTACAAACACAACACTATTATAAATGAAAGATCAATAGGAAATCAACTAGTTGTAACCCTTTGTCACTTCAACCTCTGAGCCAATCAGATTGCTTGAAAACTCCGCTGACCTAAAAAAAATTTTGCGAGGGTTTCCCTCTGTTTTGATGTGAGGCAAAATTTTAAGCGCCGCTAGGTATACCAAATCTAGCCCTGTGCTATCATTAAACTTTCCCCAGATGCTAGAGCATGCCTTACTTACACCACCTAGCTTTAGATTCTGGCGTTGAGACCCTCAATCATCACTAAAGTAAGTAGCGATAACCAAGTGGAGACAGCCTATCTACCTCCTAGCCTCGGATAATGTCTTGTTGAGCTTCAGTGATAGGCACATCCACCACAACATAATAAAGAGGTATGCTTCAAAAGAAACATAATAATAATAAAAGAAAGAAGAAAAGAACATACTACTATACTTCTATAGTAGTATATGTCGGCAAAAAAAAAAAAAAAAAAAAAAGACGCTCACACGAAGCGAGTCAAAGAAACGCATAACAAACACCACATCAAAGATGTTCAAAAAAGCTTCTTATTGCTGTTGCAATATAAATGCATACATGAGCAACGTGCATGGTAGTAATAGTCAGATGTAAAGCAACATGGCACAAATACGCACAACTGCAAAAGCAACAGTGGTATTATAAGTTTGCAATGCAATGTAATGACTAATGTTGTTTCATGTAAAGCTACAGAGGAAACACTACCAAAAAAAGAAAAAGAAGTAAGCGCAACAAGGCAAACATGATGAATGCATTATCACGATAAAGCAAGCAATAACACAAACGTTCAAAGAAGTATCATATTATTGTCACCAGAAGAAAAAAATACTTACCACTTACCACAGCTAGAGATAGACCAGAAGATACACAATCACCGGATATAGACCACAGAACGAGCATACAACAAAGAGAGTAGACCAGGAGCGACCAGATTAGCAGTAGCAACAACATCAGCAGTAATACCAGCACCATAATAGAAAGACCAAAAAACGAGTGACACCAGAGAACGAGCAAGCACCAAAGACAGTAGACCAGGAAAGACCAAATTCGCAGCAGCAACACCAGCAGCAACACCAGCAGCAACAACATCAACACTATAGAAAACCGAAGAACGAGCGACACCAGAGACCAGCAGGCAAAGACTAAAGAAGCAGCCACTAGACACGATAAACCAAAGAAGCAGGCAGTAGAGATAGCAGAGTAATGGCAGCAGCACCCACGCCAAGTAGGCAAAAGAGTCATCAAAACCTAATAAACAAATACAGTTAGTGTTAATTCTACGCCTTCCAGTGCTCATTATCGAATAATACTTAATATATTTCACTTCAAAGAAGCAGTATCAAGTCTTCCTAACAGTACAACAGTGTTGTCAGAAGCTAGACTGTTATTACCAATCAAACGGTTTCCAAAACCACCATGATTTAATGCTAAACGCGATTTGCAAAAAGGGTAAAAAAACGAGGGCATGGAAAAATAAGAGGGTACCCTAGCCGACGTCACGACCAGTAGATTTAGTCTCAGTCTTGTGCCGTAGCAGCCTTAATCGCGGCAATTTAATTTGAAATTGTGCAGTGGTATTTTCGTGTTCAAACTTGACTTGATCTTATATCCTTTAAACGCTTTTGTTAAATTTGACTATGAAAACTGTCGTTATCACACCCAACCTTCTAATACATGTCTAGAAGGCTAAAGAAGCCGCATCAAATGATGCTGATTACATCTAGCTTTTAGACCGAAAATAATGAGCAATTTCCAAAAATATGAAAACAGATTTTCTGTGAATATGTTAAAATTTAGCGTATGAAAGTCTCATAAAAAGAGTTTTCAATGTTGCGTTTCATCTTTACGATCAATTTGATCTAATATGTATCATAGAAAAAGTCTTCATTTTTGGGGTGAAAAACGCGATCATTTGATTTTTAAGAATTTTCCCTTGCTAATGCTCGTGGAAAAATGATGATTTTCATGGATTTGCAATGACCCAAAAAAAAATTGAGATAAGGCATCAGGAAGTAAAGCGTGGCCAAAAGGAGGCGTGTGGTGCTACTCCAAACGCTCAAAACGCTTTGGGGCATGAGTTATTCGTGTGGAATTTGAGGCTTTACAGACTAAACTTCACAGAAAAAAAGAATGAAAAAACAGTAAAGTCAACTTGATAAAGGTATGTTTTATTATCAAACTGACAGGTGTAAAGTAAACTGGAGTCTCTCTACTGACCAGGCAGGTAATCCTTCTTATATACTATAACAATGGATAAAAGTTCTATTAATTAGATTGACAAATAAGTCAACTCAGATCAACTAATGTCTAATCATGCTAAAAGACAACTCCAGCAAGCTAATCATGATCTAGCTTTGTCTGGATGAATAATTAGACTCTCATCCGAAGTATTCTGATCTATTCTTTCTATAAGAATAATTAATATCGATCTAGTAGCATGTATCCGATAGGTACAGTCTTCTTAGTCTATATCAATAGTACATATCTGAGTGTATATCGCTGAGCATACATCTTTAGCATGTATCTGGATATATGGCATGTCTGTAACATGTCTCATATATAGTACAAGTCTGTAGTACATAAAGTATCTGTAGCTAGTATCACGGATATAAGCATGTTGTGTCTTATAGCGTGGATCATGAAGTGCACATCTGAAGCAACAAGCTCATATTGCATTAATCTTGGTGCCTATCCAGATATGGTAAACATCTGTAGTCAATGTCGGAATACAAGTATAAGTCTATAGCGCCATCCATGTCCGTGGTGCCATCTATAGCCTATATCTTATATAGTATGAATCTTATAGTACTAGCGTATCTGAAGTCCATATTATCTTCTTATAGTATAAATCTGTATTGTACATCTAATCCAGTGCACATATAGTTTATATCTAAATCTGATAACTGGATAAACTGTCGAAATAATGCAGATCATAGTGGATGTATTTTGCAAGCGAAATGGACTTACTCTTCTGGCAATGCAACAGACTACCCCCTTCGTTTTAGGTCGAATTCTGTTCAAATCTAGTCATTTTCAAGCGCGAATAACTCATGCCACAAAACGTTTTGAGGGCTTGGATTAGTACCACACGCCTCCTTTTGGCCACGCTTTACTTCCTGATGCTTTATCTCAAATTTCTTTGGGTCATTGCAAATCCATGAAAATCATCATTTTTCCACGAGCATTAGCAAGGGAAAATTCTTAAAAATCAAATGATCGCGTTTTTCACCCCAAAAATGAAGACTTTTTCTATGATACATATTAGATCAAATTGATCGTAAAGATGAAACGCAACATTGAAAACTCTTTTTATGAGACTTTCATACGCTAAATTTCGACATATTCACAGAAAACCTGTTTTCATATTTTTGAAAATTGTTCATTATTTTTAGTCTAAAAACTAAATGTAACCAGCATCATTCGATGCGCCTTTAATGACTCTTTATAAACGCAATAGAAAGTAGTAAAGTATAACAATGACAATTTTCATAGTCAAATTTAGCAAAAACGTTTAAAGGATGTCAGATCAAGTCAAATTTGAACAACACAAAAATGACAACTGCACAAATCCAAATTTGAGTGCCGCAGTGACAGCTGCTGTGGCAGAAGACTGAGGCCAAATTTACTAGCCGTGACGTCGGATAGGGCGCCCTCTCATTTTTCCATATCCCCGTTTTTTTTCCTTTTGCAAAACGCGTTTAGTATCAAACCATGTTGGTTTGGAAACCGTTCGAATGATAATAACACTCCAACTTTTGATCACACTGCCTTGTATTGCTAAAAGAACTTGACACTGCTTTTTTGAAGAGGGATATAGTAGGTACCATTCGATAAACGAGCACTGGAAGACGTAGAATCAGTACTAATTGAATTTGTTTGTTAGGTTTTGATAATTTTTTTGCCTGTTTGACATGGGTGCTGCTGCCATTCCTTTTCTGCTGTCTCTGCTGTCTACTTTTTGGTCTTTGTCTGGTCTCTGCTGGTGTTGCTTGTTGTTTGGTCTTTGTCTGGTCTCTGGTGTCGTTTGTTCTCTGGTTTTTCCATGGTGCTGGTGTTGCTGCTGCTGTTGCTAATATGGTCTTCTCTGGTGTACTGTGTCTGGTGCATGCTTTTTCTCTGGTCTATATCTGGTGATTGCGTATCCTCTGGTCTATCTGTGGTGGTGGTAAGTGGTAAGTATCTTCTTTCTTCTGGTCGGAATGATATAAAACCTCTTTTTTGAACGTTTGTATTATTGCTTCCTTTCTCGTGATAATGCATTTTATCATGATATTTACTTTGTTGCGCTTTCTTCTTCTTTCGCTGGTTACGTTGCCTCTGTGGCTTCACATGAGACAACGTTAGTCATTATGTTGCAGTGCAAACTTATACCACCATTGCTTTTGCAGTTTTGTGTGTTTGCGTTACTTTACATTCGACTATTACCATGCACTTTGCTCATGTTTGCAATTTTGTTGCAACAACGAGCTCTTTTGAGCATCTCTGATGCTGTACTTGTTATACTTTTCTTTGAATCATTTTGTGTGAGTATCCATTTTTTGCCAAAGTACTACTATACTCTTATAGTAGTAGTATGTTCTTTTATGCTTTCTTTTATTATTATTATGTTTCTTTTGAAGCATACCTCTTTATTACGTTGTGGTGGATGTGCCTATCACTGAAGCTCAACAAGACATTATCCGAGGCTAGGAGGTAGATAGGCTGTCTCCACTTGGTTATCGCTACTTACTTTAGTGATGATTGAGGGTCTCAACGCCAGAATCTAAAGCTAGGTGGTGTAAGTAAGGCATGCTCTAGCATCTGGGGAAAGTTTAATGATAGCACAGGGCTAGATTTGGTATACCTAGCGGCGCTTAAAATTTTGCCTCACATCAAAACAGAGGGAAACCCTCGCAAAATTTTTTTTAGGTCAGCGGAGTTTTCAAGCAATCTGATTGGCTCAGAGGTTGAAGTGACAAAGGGTTACAACTAGTTGATTTCCTATTGATCTTTCATTTATAATAGTGTTGTGTTTGTAATAAAAGGGTATCTAAATAGATACAATTTAAGTTCTTCTTTATTCAAAAGTAAGACAAAATGCAATTATTCGATCTGACATCTATCGCACAGTTTTATGCGAGGAATATTCTTTAATAAGGTCACTATGTGAGAAAAGTCATATAGCTAGAGCAGTACACTAGGTACCAAGTCCTCCCAATGCGATATGCCTTGCGAAGCATACGTCGTCGTGTATGGTTTGCTATCTTTTACCCCATACTATTACATTTTGGATGTATAAAAGTGTTTTCGAATTGTAATGAAATAGCCACCCAAACGCAACTTAATTGAAAACCAAAGTTCATCAAATAGCACTCATTCAAATTCATGCTATTTGGATCTATTAATGAAAGCGCTCAAATGTACATCAAAAAACCATTTAAAAATACTAAAGTAAAGATACACGCTTATATCGCACATCGTGTGAATGAATCACTCCTGATCACAGTGTATTCAATCACACCCATGATGGTCGTAATAAGTGATGGTATCTTTATCCAAATAGAATCAAATCAATAACAAGCATATTCAAATATGACAACTATGCCCTGCTGCCATAGTTGCACAATATCCCAGATAAAGGATTCCATACTTCAATAACAAACATCACACTTTAAACCATCAAGGTTACATTAAATCATGCTATGACGATAGCTCACCCAGGCCCATCAAGGTTACTCAAATCGACCCTTATGGCCAGTGCTCTTGCATTGATTACCACTTTAAATCAAACATCAACAACATTTGCCAGATACCGCAATAGCAGCACCTATTGCTCTCTATCATCACTAATCCTACAAGCTAGATGCAAATGTACAAATACTCTTCTTTTTTTACTCAATTCCAGGATCTTCAGTTCATTTTATACACAAAATAAAATACAGTTGATTTCTATTGTATTTTACCTTTATTTTTTTTGTGAAATCTATTTAAACCTGATTTCACTGCACGAATAACTGTTTCCGATTTCAGGGTTTGTATTATCCAAAATCAGACTTTGAAGTATTAATACTCCTTGCGTTCTGAAAGTAGCATAATTCTGTAGCAATTTGTAACGAGAAAAACGCTGGTGTAGCTATACTTTAAATTGGATGGGTTTGATGCTAAGAAATAGATGATTATCGGAATAACCCAACTTTGAGTGATGAGCTTCATATAAGAACTACTTGTTAATTATTACGATCCATTAACAGTAATAGATCAATAGATGAAGTGGTGTTAGGAAACGTTGTATTATTGAAAACCGCTTGGCAATGTCTTGCTTTACTGTAGTGCCTCAACAGTTTAAAGCTGCTGGGCTGCGCTTTTCACAAAAAAGGGGGAGCAGCCATTTGCGGCAAAAATACTTTTTTTAATAACACAACGAAAACATTCAAGTGGTGCTCAAGTCTATAAAATAAATCAAGGGCTTTGTATGATTAATAGCAATGCACAAGTAGAATTTTATATGCTCCACTGTAGCAAAAGTTAGCCCTGTTGAGTGGTCGTTTTTCGACAACAGTTTGTTGACAGTGGCTGGCCTATTAAGTGCTGTAGATGCATGAAAACAACTGATGCTACAGATTTGAGTAAGGCCTCAAACAATAGGTTATTTTTTGGGCTACACTACGAATAATGCAACAGATAAGTTGGTACAGGTCTGGTATGTAATAATTCATCTTAAATATGTTTCAATCCGCATAATTGAAACATTACTAGTACCATCATAATACATATTTATATACGATAATCTTGCTTTTTGACAGGTATTGAACATTGGTAAAAATATATGTCAATACTACTTCCTAAACATCTATTACAATAAACTTACCACTTAATCGTACTACTCCTTGTTCAATAATATTTACGTAATATTATAAAATCATAACATAATACATTTATAGGCTCCAGACACTTTTACAATCCTAATATGGAGAAAACTGAGCAGCCAGGCATTTTTCAAGCATGGTTCGTATACGATTAGAGACTATATATTAAATTACTATCAATCAACAACCAAATTTCTTCTATTATTAATTTTGCAATATTAGCCAAAGGTCCGCGGCAGCGCGAGGCGCCTGAATGTAGGTTGGTTTCCACCAAAATAAAGAGAAGACCAGGAAACCAACCGAAGAGTCAAAAGGCTCATCGTAACATAATGGATTTATGGCCCCCAAACACTTTCAAAGCCACAAAAAGGAAAGATGTTGATTTAGCAAGTATTTTGATAGACTTACGTTATTAAATATAGAATGCAAGAAAACAGCATGGTTAACGATAGTGCTATATAATTTGACACCTACTGTCCATACGCTTCAAAAACATCTATTACTGCCAGCCGGCTCCACCAGCCGCCAAAATTAATCTCAACTCACACTCTTTGTCTATTCTAGATTGGCGAGATTCTGACACATTTTCGACTTGATTGAACTATTTTAACAGATTCGACTATGTAAGATCTGATAATCACCCCATGCTTCCTTAAGCTTTCCTGGAGTACTTTTCAAGGCGCTTCCAATGGTACCAAGTTATATAGATGTCTTGAATACACTTATTGAATGATTTGTAAAAATATGAAAAGAGGTTTCTGGCCAAAATGTCGAAATTTTACATATCAAATTCCCACAAAGATGATTTCAGAGGTTGCTTTGGATTGATAGAAACATTTTGATTCAAGATATACCATAGTAAAAGTCTTCATTATCAAGGTGAAAAATGCGATCGTTTGATTTTCGATGAAAACCATGAGGGGTACCTCATGCTTTTTAGTCGATTTTTGACCATGTTTTTTTGGTTCCCAAAAAGTCGAGCAAAAGTGTCAGAAAGTAACTGCCAGATGAGAGCAACCATTTGGGACTATTCTGACAATCTAAAACGGCCTTGAACGCAAGAAAATGCAGCTCAAATGCACTCATATTTTGCTGTATTAGGGACACTAAGGACTAAAAAGTGGGAATACCAGTATGCTGCTTGCCTGTATATGAAGTATCTACATGTGTACGGATGTGGAACATTGCATAAGAGTTAGATTCTCAGATAATAAGGAGGGGTCTCATGTGTAAGTGGAGGATTTAAATGAAAGTAGCAGTGTTTTGATAAGATGCGCGAGGGCAATCGGTAGTGCAAGTTGCTGCTGCGCAGGTTGGTTCTCACCGAAGCGAAGCGAAGGTAGAGAGCTATCCGAAGCATAAACACTCGTATGTAATAATGAGCTGTTATATCAGGCTATGCAGCTCGTTGGGGATGGATGGTACGCTATGAACATTCGTCTTTATTACCGTCTCTTACTAAACTAAGAAAAAAAGTTCGCGTGTATAACCTGCTGCTTACGGATGTATGAACAGAAGAACATCTACAGATATAGTTACAAAGGCATACTTTTACATATGATTAATAGAAAAATCTAAATTGATTCTATCAAAATACATCGTGTTAGTCTTCTGGCAAGTATCAACAGGTAAAGATGTACGTGGGATACTTGCAGTTTCATTTGGATGTTTATCGCGATGACAATTCTCTCTGTAGAGCAAGTAACCAGTCAGAGTAGATAGCATCGCTGAAACAAGTGCAGTAATCAAATTAAATATCATTCCAAATGCTACACAACAAAATTAGTTTAGTATATTGAATGAACGCGATCAATCCTAATTCATGCATACCATATCTAGGTGCATCTTGCGATCGAAACAGATACGCAGCAACTATACTACCAACATTGCCTACCATAAGTACAGAGGCTACAGCAACAGCTCTCACATTCAGATCGTGGTAATTGATGGCCGACCAACCTATGGCGGCAGCAGCTACATTCGATATGAATTAGAACCGTTGCGCGCAATATAATCTATATTGAGCGATATACCTTGCATACCCATCCCCGCAGGAATCAAAAACAGAGTACTATATAAAGCTACACATTGAGAATTAGTATCGCTTATTAATGCGAGTAGGTGCCTTGGCAGTTACCCCATCTATTTGTAAGAACCAACAGGCAAGTGTAGCCAATAGCGATAGTAATGGACCCAACTACTAGTAATGGTGATCGACGATTATATCGACCAGCCAAGTATCCTCCAGACAGCACACCCAATGTAGCAATTGCACACGGTGGGGCAGTTAACAATTGAGAAGTTTTGGGATCGAAGCCAAATCCTAAAGTAGAAGCTAAGTCTATGATGGCATCTACACACTCACTCACTGGATTCCTACCATCAATTAGTGTTGGTGCAAAGACAGTAATACTGGTAACATTGATGGAATTCAGCAAAAATACAAATGCAAACGCCCAAGTCTTCCAATCCATGAACACATCTTTGAACGTTTGGATGGATATAGCATTATGGATTGTATCTGCTTGTTGATGGATCATCATTCTGTTTGCTTGTAGCACTTTTTGTTCGGTTGACAGCCATTTCACGTTTTGCAGATCATCGAATAAAAAGAAGTAAGACACAATAGCCAAGACTATCGTAGGCACTCCTTCAACGATAAACAGATATTGCCAATCATGTAAACCGTTTCTGCCATCCAAATAAGACATTCCGTAGGTCAATGGTCCCGAAAGTAAGCCTGACAGTGTGGCCATGGTCAATAGTATGCTAACGCGCAGACTGAACTCTTGAGGATTGTATACTTTGGATAGCAGAAACATGATTCCGGGAATGTAGCCACTTTCAGCTGCTCTACCATCACGGAACAGAAACGATGAAAAATAAGGGGGGTTTGATGAATCATAAAGAGTTAGGTATAATAGAGGTGGTTAGGTATTCAGTGGCCATGTACATATAATCATTATAATGAAAAATAGATTACCCTAATATTAATCGTGCTATCAACAACCCCGTGAAATTAGTGACAAAGGCTGTCAGAAGCGTTGCAATTCCCCAAACCAGCATGATGAATGATAGCCACATTGCAGCGTTTGTTCTTTTCAATACAACATTTGAGGGCACTTCAAATATAATCTGTTGCCGTTCATTCATGCATTAAGATAGGATTAGAACACATACATATATGAAAATCTATAAATACATCATCATCTTCTTACATAAGTAATAAAGAATGCTGATATAGCTGTGCTCAATTCATATGCGGTCATCTACGTTATGAGTGTTAGAGCAATATACGCCTGGCAACCCGATAGATTCTCTACAAACCTCAAGATCCGTCTGAAGACCGGCCAAGCTACAGATGAATTGTACATAGTCAGACGCTCTTTATCTGACAATAATAAATTGAATTACATACGTTGCATTTCCAATGTTTGCACGATCGAGAAAATCAGCAAAATAAAACAAGCAAAACAAAGGCATGATTCTGATGTCTAGTGTTCTGACTAATTTCTTTTCATCTTGTGAGTTGATATGCTGAACGTCTTTTGTCTCTGCAAATGAAGTGCTGCTATTCTCAAGTGATACACATGAAAACCCAGAGTCAAATTCCATGCGGGATTTCTCCTTGGCATTGCTAGCTTCCAGATCGAGATAGCCTTCATCCTTGTCAGTGGAAACTTTGGTTTCCTCGCTGTCAGTGTTCATAGATGGTGGAGATGCGTGATTCATCTTTTGCTTAGAGAAAGAGTCTGGATTGAAAGGACAATCATTTTGAAAGCACAGTTTTATATATGAAAAAAGCGCTTAAATCAACTCCTTATTAACTCACGTATAAAGATATTAGGCTTTTGTTTTCTGCATAACCTCCCCAATCTTCGAGAAACATAATCATTGTTGGACCCCTTTTAAGATGCTCTTTCGACATTTTTTGTACTGATATCAATTTTTAGTATTTTTTAATAGCATTCAGTGATGAGATGAACAACTCGAGTATCGTGCTTTTTTTTTATTGACTTTTTTAAATGTTATTTTTAACAGAGGGGATCAATTGATAATCAATCTGTTTTGCAAGCAAGAGGTGATTGCATATTTGGATAGATTTCTCCTTGGTTCAGGGCAAGAACTGGGTGGTCAAGACTTAATCCGGATGATTCAATGGCCCGAAGGCCTACTTTCTTTAGTGGCTTTCGATTAAGAAATTTATCACATCCAACGACTGTCAATCTTGAGCGTGAAGCGAAATAGTGACCGGCGCAAAAGAAAATTTTTTACCTCAATCCAAAGCATTTAAAGCAAAATTTTCCAACAACAAGACAGCTTTCTTTTTTTTTTTATTAACAACTGATCTAAAAGGCAAGTGTTTCATTTATTATCTTCAAAAAGAGGGAAAGGAAGGGAATCGTTGCGGAGAAGAGAACATCATGATCCCGAATGATTCGTGTGGAAAGAAACGATAATGGAATTCCTCGTATCTGAGCATTCATTTCTTTCAATTTCCTTCTTTTTGGATATTTGGTTATTTTTGACATGTATTAACCTATTTACACTTTATAGACATCTTGAACGATGAGTGAATAATACCCTGTTTCGCTGTCTCGAGTGGTTTTTATTAAACGTAAGTTGATTTATTTTGTTTAACATATTGCTCAAGAAGAAGATGACGAAATGCATCCACATTTCTGAAAATAACTGAAAGATTGGATATAATATACATGCACCACCATCTGATTCTTCTTGATCAATATGCTATACTATATCTTCTTTTCGCATCAACTAATCGCGTTCATATCACAGTGTCTTTAATCATTCTTGATTGAAATCGGGTCTTTCCTCATTTTACTTGATATTTTTGGTCCTATCTGTGTACGCTAAAGGTAATTGTCATTGCAATTCGATGAATAACGCCTGTTGTATGATCAAAGTCATATGGATATGATGAAACTAAAGTACAAACGTCAGTTCTGCTTCTGATTAGCTGTGACGACAATGACTATATCGCTTCCTGACGTATACTTTTTTCATACAACATTGCGATTACTTTTGTATTTTTAAGCAAGCAGTTTATTAATCATACATTTTTCTATTACAGTTTCCATCTAATTTTCTTTACTGAAAAAGGAGGCTTAGCTGCACTGATTGTGTATGGTAAGTTTTTTCTTTATTTTCATGAAGCAAAATAAGTGTCTTTTACAAGGATGAGAATAAGTTATATCCATTCTATGATACGAGGCCCACATCTTTTCGACACCAGGGCAAGAAGGACGCTTTTCCTTGAGTTCTTCGAGGTTAAGAACAGTTCTTGTTTCTACCGTTGAGGGATGGGGACATTTCTTTCGAAATTTTGGAAGCTCATTGATTGCACAATGAGTGGACGATCTTTAGAAGTCTTGTCTTTCCGTGGTTTCTAGGATTTTAATAAACTTGCTGATTATATTCACTTATTTTGTTTCTATTTTATTTTGTTGTAATGCATTTCACTGACTTGTATTTCTTACAGTTGTATGTTTGTATTTGTATTGTGAATAAATAACTTTGACTATAACGCTTTTGTATTCTTGAGTGAATTATTTTTCATATGTCGGAGTTAAGCTGTCAAATCTGTCTTTCCAAAAATGGTATTGTTTATTTTGTTCCTGCATAGCCTTGTATCGACCTTATTGCACTATCAAATCATTGTATGTAACTCAAGTATCTACGCATTGCATGCTGATACCAAATTGAATTGCTCGATTATGATTCTGTCTTGGTGGAGGTGGCCAGCTGCTCCCAACAAGTGTGCTGAATTAAAGCTCTCTTCATATACCCATTAGCGAGAGGGCTCTCCATATCCAAATTTTCTGATGGGACATTCGCTCTATGGCCAAAACGAAGTCAATTAAGTAGCGAAAGGACCAACATACTTGCCATTGTAAGATCAGAAACAATAGCTATATCCTTGAATACACTCATTTCATTAGAATGATCTATTCAGCGAATTATCAAATGCAATCTGTGGCTTTTTTTTAATGGACTTCAAATCCTTCTAGCATTAAATAGCAATTTTTCTTTTGCTCAAATCACAATCTCGAAGTACATTCCTCGCATAAATTATACAATGGCAAAGCAAGCATCAGGTATACTCAATGAACCATTTTATCAATAGACGAGTCAGTACAATTAATCGTTGTGTTAGACAGCAAAAAGGCAGCTGCCAAGAAGGAAATTCCTGCCAAGAATGCCGGTGTCAAAAAATCAACAGTAAATAAGAAGGGCAAAAGTGTGTCCAGTGGTGCTGATGAAATCGACGATATTTTCAGTAAAAAGAAGATTACTGATGCTTCTGAAATTGACGATATTTTTAATACCAAATCAATCAAGGGAGAAGCTGCTGAAAAGGAGCCTACCTTGTCAAAGAGTGCCAAAAGAAAGGCAGCCAAGAAGTCTAAAGTATCCGAAAGCAAGGATGAGAATAAACAAGCCGACGACGAGGACGATGAAGAGGAGGAAGAACAAGAGGAATTAACAGAGGAACAATCTAAAAAGGTTGAGGAAGTTGTGTTTGCTGAATTGGCAGCTGTAAAGAGCAGTAATCCTTCAAAAAAACGTGCTGCTCCACCACCAGTCATTGATGATGCATTTGGTGATTCAAGAGGCATTAAAAAGACGAGTAAGCATCAGAACAGAGAAGCAAAATAGACAATGCTCTAACTTTATTACTCTAGATCGCACAACAGAAGATGGCTATCCTCTTTACGATGTCAAGGATCTGAACATTGGTGGTGGTTTAGATACACCAGATTGCCCCTTTGATTGTCAATGCTGTAAGTTACTTTTAAAGAGTGGTAGTATATGTACAACTGTATTTATTTTTTATAATTTTGTAGGTTTTTAGCTAATCTACAGTACAGAGATATAATAAACGCAGTATATTGAATATAGAATTTAAAATGCTTCCCAAACAGTGACACTGTAAGCTACTTCCATTCGTCTTCTTACAAATGCTGGTATCGATTGATTCAACCACATTTGTCTAATTTGTTCGTATCGCTTCACATTTAAATATTGAGGGGCACCACGCTTGAAAAAAATGTCTGCTTCACCATGACTATCCAAATAAGGTGCATTCATGATACTTCCCCCATTGTCATGCAACAGCAATAAGAAGCAATCTTTGATCATGATAAAGATACCAATTTCACCACCACAGCTACATAACCAAGGACATGCATCAGATTTCTAAACTATTTCAATATACACAACTGTAACTTACCTCTTCATATGTATGTTGCATTCTCCTTTGCTATCTTCAGTGCAACAGAAACGACGAGCGCAAACAAAAGTACCACAAATCAGACAGATGGCAGAATGCTCTGGCACTGTTTTACACTTTCTGCAGACACGTTTTGAGCTTTCATCCAGTAACTGATCCAATCTGTAAGGAAGGTGAGCCATTCTGTATTGCGTTGGTAAGTGGAGCGATATGTTGGGTGATTCATGCGTAACGTAGTCTTGGCACCAGCCATTGATCAGATCTTGTTCAAAGGGTTGCAAGTCAAACACGGTATCCAGGGCAGGCAATCTCAGTATATCCAACAGGTTGTCAAACTCACTCTTTTCTTCCATGTCGTCCAATGGATTCTGAGGTATAAAGCCATGATGCACAACCATAAACATAAGCGATTTACGCAAAAACGGAAGGACAAAGGTGCGCACAATAGCGACCAGTGCACCGGGATTGATACGTTGGAAGAAGGCGTCAATGGATGCTTGAGGTACCTTCAAGAGTCCAAGCACGTAGTTGGCAAACTGATGGACTCCTTCGGCACCAGTGAATTGCTGCTTTTCTGCATTGAGTGTCTGCAAGAGTCCGCTGATGTGAGCATCCTTGATCACCTTCTCACCGTCCAAAACACTACGGACAATCACAACGATGGTCTTGGCCAGTTCAGCAAGGTACATTGAGCGCAATAAATGATGGACCTCAACAGAAGGTGCTTCAGCAGTGGAGAAACTCAAGCGAACCAACGCTTTAAACGAGTCGTCTACCAGCAAGGGCTTCAAATGATCGGCTTCCACCATATCGTCTATCAGATGAGTGCTTGTGTTGGGAATGAACTGATTTAATGCTTGCAGTGCTAATCTCTCCTTTGTGAACCGGTCTTCTGCTGCCCATGGTGAATTCATCAAGTTTTGGATCAACAGGTTTGTCATGCCAAGTATCTTTAAAAGCGTCTGTGATGTGCTGGAGATGTCGTCAATGAAGGTGCCTGTATGCTCGACTGTGAGATCTCTGGCGCGAGTGCCTTCAGTGCCACGTTGAGCTAACTCAAAATCAGCAATTGTATAGGCATACATGTCTAGCAAGTTTTGGATCGAATTGGACAAAGTCCATCTTTCAGACTTGGGATTCAGGGTAACGTGCATCACCTTAATCAGTTGATTGTAAATGTGCTTCAGTTTATCTTGATCGCTGATCACCAAGTCAGGATCGTTGTTCACAAAAGGAGGTTCTTCATCAAACGCGCCGGGGAACTGCTTGAAGTTCTTCTTGAGATCAGTAGCTGCATCGTCGATGGCCTTTCTCAAATCGGCGTAAGGAGTCGAGGGCACCATCACACCTGGATACGCTTCTTTCTTGCCCTTCCACACAATAGGCACCAATACATTACCTAATGCTTTGCACAGAGGACAAAGGAATCGACTTTTGGGAGAAATGGACAAGGGGAAGATTCTACCACCAATCTCACCTAGGAACTGATTTTCCACAGATTGTTGATATGTATCAAAACACTCGGAATGCATGAGATGACCGCAAGACGAGATATCCAAGCCAGCAACATGAGCATCCGTAGGGAATCCACTGAAGAGAGGCGTCTTTTCAGAATTCTCGGGTCGCGGAGCCCAAGGATTCGCCTGTTGACTACTCTCCAAGACATCAGCCAAAACCTCCTTGTTGTTCAATGGTGACAGACGTTGAATGTTGGTCTGTTGAATAAGGCCAAGCATACCGTACAGTTTGGTGTCGTCCAGTTCTTCTTGACAGACGATACAATTGTCAGTAGGAAAGTGGCATTTGCGCACAATTTCGAGATCGTCTTCAGCGGCAAGTTCGCTACTGCCGACAGGCATGTCTTGATACGCTTCCTTGGTATCTTCTTCGACGTCCTCGTCTTCTTCAGTCTTGTATAGATCAGCATGTTGCTCCATAAACTTGGATTGTGCATTGGCAAACTGAGACATGATAGCCGCTTGTCTGGCTTTAGCAGCAGCCTTTTTGCGCTCATAATCAGAGACATTACCGCCTCCCGAGCGTTCCATTTCAGCCTTAGTTTCTCTTGACTTTCTCTCTTTCCAATCGCTGATGACTTCCTTGGCAGCAGCAGAACAGTGCACTTCCATTTTATCCACGATAAAGCCGAGACGTTTGTGTGCATGTGATAAATCGGCATCGTCCAAGCAGCGCAAGAGGATCAGCAGCAAGGAGGCGTGTATCTTTTCAATTTCATTGATTTGAATAGCGTACTCATCACTTTCGGCAAAGTCAATGAAATGTTTGGTGTTGGCTTCGTCAATAGCGACATCTGCTCTGTATTTGCCCTTGACGTTCATGGCAGCGAGTTCACTGGCTGAACTATTGGGATCTGTCACAGCAAGCATGCCGAGATAAAGTGCTTCATCCAGAATGGTGTCACTCTTGGACTCCTTGTGGAATTTAGACTCCCAAAGAGCATAGGCAATGATTTGACAGAGAACGTGTGAATGCAAAAACTTGCCCAAGTGTCTGAATGGACCCACGTCAATGCGCTTGCTGTGTGGTATCAACAAGAACTCTTCTTTATCGTTCAGTTTTTGGTCAGGATGCAGTTGGTTCCAGCGCTTCTTTAGTGCGTTTTGTGCTTCTTCGCGTTGATTACGAGTGTAATGCCAGAAATAAGGCTCAATTTCATCCACGTATTCAGGTTTGATCTCGTACAGTCCCTTGTCGTTTAAACCGTCGGGCGCCTTGAAGTTGGCAATGGTGTTGAGTTGGGTCTCAAAGGACTCGTGTTCTGAAAGACTTTCAGGCACAAGCTTCAGCAGTTCAGAGTAGGCCATGCTGGAGATACCCAGATACTGAATGATGGATTGACGCACGCGGTCTTCAATCTTTGTGCCTGAAGCATAGCCATGCTCTGTCGCACAGATGATGAGCAAGTTGAGAAAGTCTTCCACCATGTATACCATTTGGCTGGAGTCATAGCAGCTGTGCTTGTGGGACTTTCCTCTGAACCAGTCCATCAGCTGGAATCGATCCATCAATGTTAACAAGATTTGGTTGCTATCACAGACAGTGAGGCCCACTTGCAACAAGTAAATGTCGCAATCCAGCGTGCTTTCCCTAACATTGACATCCCTGTATGAATGAGCCTATTGTGGAATTGCTTAGAATGAGCTCTTTGAATGCTGCTGAAATCCTACTTACCTGATTTCTAATACTGTAGCCATTTCTGACCCAAACACCACAGTTGATCTGTGACAGCAGTGCAATGGTTCTGATAGGATACTCCAATACCATGAGGAACATGTCATGATCTTTACTGTCAAAGGCGTCGTTGACCATTTGCTTGAATCCTCCCAGCCAGCCGAGTTCATTCAGCACACCTTGATGCAAAAGAGACACATTCTCAAACAGCTCTGACAACAACCAATGGAAAGGATGGTGGAAAGAGACGGGACCGGAAGTGATGTCGTATTTCACAATCTCGTAGTTGCCAGTGTTCATTGTACCGACTTGATGGAACTCCTGCTCAGCCAAACTCTTGATGGCAATTCTTGTTTCAGGCAGCTCCGTCTCACCCACTTTACGAGGTACCAGGACAGGCTTCCACTCAGCAATCTCCTTCAGCACACGGTAAATGGATCGACAGAGGTTGCGAGAGGCTTCGGCCATGGTGATCTCACTCGACTCAAAACAGCCAGCAAACAGACGACACAGCTTGGACGTCTGCAGTGTCATGTTAAAGGCAGTGACCCAGGATTGCGACTCGAATTCCACGTGCATGTCGGATTTTCGTTTCAGGGCGTCCATTTCCTGAAACTGATACAGCATGTCCAGAAAGTGACGAAGATACAGTGGGTTCTTGGCAATCTCCACCTTGACTTGCTCAGCATTCATCACGTATCTCAAGTCAAAGATGGTGTAGGCATAGCGATGACGGCCAATGGCGCGTGAGGAGCAATCCACTTGAGCACGAGAGTATTCTTCAGGCAGGATCATGTGGATGTGATCTGTCAAGAAGAAGTTCTCTAGAATAGAGCACACAATGCCAAAGAACTTGTACTCTTTGACCAGCATGGATGCCACTGTAGGCACCGTCAAAAGTTGAACTGACAAGGTGCTAACCGAGTTTTCAGGTTCTCTGTCCTTGAAGAAGAAGGCATCGACGAGTTCCGGGTAATTGCGAGCAAATCGAGTGCCAAGTACAGGTCTGTACTGAAAGTTGGAGATGAAAGTGCCAATCAACAGATCCTTGATGCTAACACGGGCCGTCTTCCATAAACGCAGATCGAATTGCAGCAGATAATCCAAACGCAATTTACGTCTAAATTCCTTTTTCAATTGCGCATTGACAAGGCGTGCAGTGGCAATTTCTTCTTCTGTGGTGATGGCAGCAGTATTTGAGTTGGGAATGCGCAGGCTTTGAGTGATCTCTCGCTCCTCATTTTCTAGTTTTTCAGTGTGCTCAAGCCAAGCGTCCAGGTTCCAATCGATATCCAAAATATCTCGAGGCTTGTGCGTTTTGGAAGAAGAGCCGGATTTGGATTGAGAAGAGTTTGATAAGCGTCTGCGTTTAAGTACTTCGGCATTGCGACCTTGATTGCTGGAAGATAAGGAAGGTTGATTTGGTGCATCGCTCTGTCTCCTTCTGGACAACTGGCTGGGAGTAGGTTCCACATGATGTGATGATAGTGCTGCCTCTCTGCTGTTGGTATCGTCAGTTTCCATCATATCTTGAGGGCCGGATTCAGGCCGAGTGTGCGTATCGTTGTCCTGTTCAAGGGCAATGGAACCATCTGTATCATAGTATTCGTCTGAATCCTCATCCTCCTCTTCATCGTCATCGTCCTCCTCTTGGTCTTCGTTTTCTTCAGCTTGTAGACGGTTGAAAAAGTCGTCGAGTTGGTCTTCATCCAAGAGTACATCTTCTTCGTTGATTTCATCCATGTCTTCACCAAACAGCATGTCCTCGTCTTCATCGTCGTCGCCCATCGTCGCATCCGCGCCTTCCAAGTCAAATTCGTCATCTTCATCCTCTGCCATTCTCTCTCTTCTGTACCGGGTCGATAGTACGGCAAGCTCCGGACGAAGCGCCCAGTCTGCTGAGAATACCTCACAGATAATGTCACGAATAATGCAGTTGCCCCCATCCACATTGTTAAAAAACTTGTAACGACCACCTGTCAACTCTTTAAGCCAATCCAACAACAAGCCTGAAATCTCTTCGCGCACCGTTTTTTGAGAAGAGCAGATGGTTACGGCAAGGTTGATGGAACTGACAATTTCTGCGATACGAATCAACTCTGCTATATCTGACGACTCTTTGAGGATATGGCGGCCGTACACATCTACGCAATCTGCCGCGTGGGCTGCCTCATCTTTCGTGCATCCAAGTGCGTTCACAACGATATCAATAACATTATCAAACGAATGCTTTTCGTCATTCCACAGAATACAGGCGTATGTTTGGTTGGGTGCATCAATAGGTAGTCCTAGTGCTTCATGTGAGTCGATGCAGTCTTGCTTGATGGAGTCGACAGTGCCTACAGACACTACGTCCTCGGGTGAAGTAGCGAATGTCTCTAATATGTAGTCCAATACCACAGTGATGGTGTCGCGAACAGACTGCATGATGGCAGGAGGCACAGAGAAGAGTGGCTCCAATGCGTGCGTCGATGTGTCGGGTATAGTTGAGTCAGTATTGGGTGAATGGATAGCACAGACGAGAGGTATCTTCCATGCTTCTGGATCACCGCAATCACAGCAACCACCAGCGCCTCTGCTGATCCAAATTTTGACATCATGTCCATCATGGTTTGTTGAATGAAAGCATTTGGAGCACATAACACACGTGTCATCTAGCCCACAGTTTCTAGTAGAACATGACATGAGCCATCTTGTTATTGTCTCTGCCCACACACATAATCCATTTACCTGCAACGATAGACACTTTCGCCCTTTTTGAATAAATGACCGCATTGCTTTCCTCGTTGGCTTTCCCAATACTCTGGCTCATTATCATCACTCTTGCTAAAATTTTGCTGGTTTGGCAGTTGATCGTCTATATGGTCATCAGGTTCAGAGCCAAAGAGATTGTATTTTTCAAGCAATTGAGACAAATTATCACTATCAGAGAGACCCTCTTTGAAAAAGTATTTCTGCATCAGGTCAGCATCGTTGCTCCATAAGGACCGATAACAGTTGGTGAGGATTTGCTTCTCGGCGCCTCGATGCAATTTGCTCTTGTACATTAAAGGTGCCTCCGTCAGGAAAGTTTTCAGTTGTGCTGGAGTGATAGGCGATGTGCCTACATTGTCCCATGTTGAAGTAGTAGGCTGTGACATGTTGCCCTCGTTGTTCTCTCTTTGTGTATGTTGGATGAAAGAAAGAAAAAAAAAAGTATCGAATATAATAGGAAAAAAAAAAAGTGCTGGGTGTGTATGTTTATTGAATATTATGTTGTTGGTATCAATGTTTAGTGTGTGTGTATATAATATGCCATGTTTCCACCTTGAAAGCCAGATGATGGGGTCTATTTTACAAGAGAGAGGAAGCAGAAAGAAGTTTTTTCCATTGCTCCGTGTGACCTGATTTCCTCTTACTAGCACATCTCAATGGTACAATTATCGAGCAGAATGATCCAATGCTGACATAAAACATGGATAAAGCTGTCTAGTACAGCCAGGGAGAAGGCGAGATGTGTATGATTTGCTCGAAATATGAATTTGTCTCAGAGAAATATGGGTTGTCTTTGCGATTGATGTATTGCAGAAATATCATGCAAGAGAGACCGGATTTGGGCCAACGATATTCCCTGGATAATGCATTCTGCCCTCATGGAAGATGAGGCTTCTTTGGCTGATGCGATTTTCTCACAGAATTCGACGTTTCGCTTATAGAGTGGTAACGCCGAAAAGCCAAATTTCTCATCACCTGAAAATGGCGTTTCTAATTTGTATGGCACATTAGATAAAACGAGTGATAATGCATTGATAGCAAGAAATTTCACTGTGAATGTCGCCTTTTATTTTGACAGTTAATAGCAGATTAGCTACCAAATATACAGCTCATTTCGAGCTTGAGCATCGGCTTACAACTATCCGAGTTTGGCAAACATTGCATGAGCAATTGATATTTGTGAGAAATTGTCGCTGTTCCTGGATGTTTAACATTGCCTGAAGAGCTCTCTCGCCCTCTCTCTCTCTCTCTCCCTCAAGTGTCTATAGCGACCTCAATTACTCGTGTTGCTCAAAGATTTACATATCACAAGATGCTTGGAAGCAGAAAAGGCTGATTATTACGTGCTTTATTCTACAAATCAAAAAAATTAAAGCTTGGAGTATTTGGCGGGCTTCTTGGTGACAAAGGCTTGGATAGAAAGGGGAATATCCTACATTATGTAACGTCAATTCATCGGGTTTCAATAGCTTACAAAGCGTCAATACAAACCTCGGTATTCAACATGCCTTGATTCCAGGCAACGGTATAATTCAAACCTTCAGCAACAGAGTGATCGCGAGAGTAATTTAGCAAGTGCCTATTCCATAGCATGAGTAAGTGCATCATGAGTACATGTCGAATTGTATACATTACTTTGTGCCCAAAACGGCGACAGGAGATTTGGAGGCAATTAGCTTGGCGGTTTTGAATGCTTCAGCTACAAGCATTCACATGTTAGTTTGAGATCAATAATGTGATATTCAATAGATCATACCCAGGACAGCTTCATGGTTGTCAGCTACTTTACTGACAAATCCACACTCCAAAGCTTCAGGAGCATACATGCTAATAGCTGCTTTTAGTAATAGGTCTTGTATGAAATGCATCTACGACTTACTTGCGACCAGTGAAACAGAGCTCACGGACTAAACTGTTGTTGCCAATGATCTTGGGAAGACGTTGAAGAGATCCCACATCAGCAGCAAGTCCAACATCAACTTCCTTAACACAAAAGAAGGAGTCCTTTGCACAATAACGAATATCACATGCTGTGACCAAATCAACACCAGCACCGAAACAAGCGCTGTGAACAGCAGCAATGACAGGCTTGGAGCATTCTTCAATAGCAGTGAATGCAGCTTGGAAACCTTGAATGTGAGAGCGAATTCTCCAAGCAGCACGAGCAGGATCAGTGGTATCTTGGTTATTCAAGCTAGTTTCAGATACTAGAAGTGTCTGTTAATGCCTATCAATTCTAATTGATGCTTTTGTAAATATACTTTACAATCTAAACCAGCAGTAAACATGCGGCCAGAGCCAGAGACAACAACAGAGAATATATTGTTATCTACAGAAATGTCTTGAAATGCCTTTCTGACATCGGAAACGAGCCTAGATAGTGATGATATGAACGAATAAATTTATTTACTGCCCCCTAAAACGAATGAATCTATACTGACTGATCATTGAAAGCATTCAGCTTTTTAGGTCTGTGCAATTGAACGTGAGCTACACCTTCAGCAGACACCTCTACTTTGACAGTTTCGTATTGATATGGGGACATGGCTGTGTATATATATATTTCTGTTACGATGGATGAGAAGAGAAAGAAGGCAGATATAATGGAAAAATCAAAGCGAGCCTTTTATACTGTAAATGATCTTTGTCATGGATATCCCATTCACACACACACACACACACCACGCCCACATCCAAAGGGCTTGAATGTCCGAATAGACAGGGCATTTCACATGAAGAATTTGGCATGACTAAAACGAAAAACTATCGCCCGTGAGTATAATGCAAAGGACATGGTTTATTGATTAACGATGGCAGAGCCAGATTTAGTGAACAGCATATCTAAAGTAGCCATAGTCTCAATAAGGTCTTTTTGGAGCTGGATCTCTTGCTTGACTTTCACTGTTAAACGAGATAAAAGGTCATCAATGAGTGGAGATTGACCAAAGACACGAGTATAACAATCTACAAAGAAAAAAGGGGCATTGTCAATAAAGATTTACCGACGTTTAAGCGACAAACTTACCGATAACAGCTTCTGATACATCGACCAATAAGTTTGTAAATCTAGGATGATGGATATTTCTGATCAAGAAGCGCATTAAAGGCTCCAATGACACATCATCACGACCTGTAATCGCTTGCTTCAAGCCATCACGATGAATCAATTCTTGAAGCACTGCAGCGACGACAACGGGTGTTTGAATGCTGACTCGTAAAACTTCATCCAACGCATTCGAGTATTGGAACACCTTCATGAATTGATCGTATTTCTTCAATCTCTGTCTCTTTGTGTGCTCCACAACGAAATCGTCCTTGGCTGCCGTATTCGATTGTCCACGCATGAAATACTTGTAGGTGCCTGCTCGAATATAGTCCTGGTTTTGCTTCTTTATCGCCTTCTCAGATGATTTGATTTGGCGTTGACGAATGGATAATAGGCCATTTGACATACCGGCTGCGAGATGGGTATCATCAGGTGAAAGTCCAACACTTAGAATAGGTGCAGGATATTTGACACTGTGCACCACCTTGTAATCTTGCACATCGTAAATCTTGACATGCTGATCCAGTGAGCCGGTCACCAAACGAGATGCTGATCCATCAAAGCACATGCTGGTTACTGTCTTTTGATGATTGCCTAGTGTGTGCATGCATCGTCCACCACTTAATAAATCCCATACTTTGATCACTGGTCCACCAGATGAAATAACAGCGCCTCCGTTGGGGTAGATCAAAAGTGATTCGACAGGTGCTCCATGGTTCATTGTCATAACACTTTCGCTTTGTCTCATATCCCACAATTTCACTGTTTGATCGTAAGAGCCACTCACAAATAAGTTGGGGTTGTCCTGACTGACGACACCAGCTCTGACATAATCATCGTGTTCCTCAAATATGTTGACGCTCTCCCCAGATGGAATGTCCCAAATACGCACAGTTTTATCGTCTGATGCAGATAGAATGTTGGATTTGTTGGTTGAAAATTGCGTTACTTGTGTAGGTCTATCATCAATTGAGCGAGATCAGTATCTTACAATGCGTTTATCCGTAGAAACAAGCTTTGAGACTTACAAGTTGTGTGCTTTGAATGATCTCAAAATAGCACGAGATCCACCATCAAACATCTGAACAAGACCGGTAGCATCACCTGCAACGATCAACTTACCATCTTGACGAAAGCTACCTGAATAGGCGATGTCTTTGAATCGGGAAATGGTCTTTTTAGGTTGATGCGTTTTAGATGAGTAGATTTGTACACGAGTAGATGAGGTAACTGCAAAGTCGTATGGTGCAACTGGCGAAAAGAAAATGGAAGAAACGCTGGCGAACTCTTTAATAACAATGGGAGACTATCATACACAGTTTAGCATTGGACACATACAGGTAATCATACTGCACAATCTATATACCTTGAATCGCTTCCAATATTTGGCCTCGGCAGTGTTTTTCGAGCTGTGTACTTTGGCATACTTTTTAACAACAGTTTTCTGATAATCCATCTTGTGTGTTGTCTATGAGTTTGTGTGGGTTACTGTCAAAAGAGTACTGGAATCCAAGCAAAGTTACCATTTTTTTTTCTTTTAGCTTACGATAAAAGGTCACGAACACTTGAGTATCAACGCCACCTAGATTCATTCACAGGGCAGTCGAGGGAGTGCATTATGCAAGCAACCCTAATCATCATTTTATTGCTTTAGATGATTGTCTAGATGGTAGGCTAAAAAGACTATGAAGATCTGTAGCATATATGCAATTGTTTTACTTATAAAATCCCCATCAAATGTGCTGCGATTACTAGATCCACCCAAATGTGAACATTTAAATCTGTTTAAACCCTTCATCTACATTATGGCCACTTTCCGATTAATATAATGTATCTGTTGGGGGGGGGGGTGCTTACTTGCATTTAAAGTTACTACATTATATACCTGTTTATAGACAATGCTTGTGAAGCTTCTTTATTGATAAAAATCATGATGCAAGAATTTAAGTGAGTAAATCTACCATGCGTAGCTCAAAATCGCTCAAAAGTTGCATTGCCAAACTTTGCTGTTATGCTTGATCAACAGAGAAAGTATAAACTAACTGAAAACCTGAGAAATGTAAGTGCAGTTGTTGGCTTTTATTTGGGAAATATCTGTCGCTTACAGTGCTAATATTATCCACCGTAGATATACTCGCTTTTGCAACACAGTCTTAGAGAGACGCTCAATATTTGTAGGCCACACAAGACCTACCTTGTCTTCCCATTTGCTACATCAATTGATGTACATATACCAGTATAGTCATCTAAACAACTTTTAATATGGGATCAAGATTAATGATGCTTCTGTGAGCTTGTAAGCTAAACTTAGGTCGTCCTAAAGATGTGCTTCTGATTGACATGCACAAGGCATGCTTTCGCAAGAGTTTATACATGCTATAGATATCTCAATTTGAAAGCGCAGCAAATTTGCTTTATAGCAACTTGAACCATACAGGCAACGACATGATTAAACAAAACCCATCAATTTTGTATGTCTGTATGAAACAGTTAATTTATAATAAATAGAATTTCATAAGTTCCGGCCTTTAGGTGTAGTTGATCGGCGGTACATGTTCGTGTTGCTTAGATTATTGTTTTGAATCATATGAGACAGGTAGGTTGCTTTTTCACTTTGAAGAAGAGCATCCAGTTTAGCTTGAATTTCGGGATCCTCGCTATAATTTCTGCTCGTTCTTCTGGCTGGTATCATATTTTCTGCTGTTCCTTGAGCAGTTGGATGAGAAGGAGATACAATGAAGGCATGTGGCGGTACGGGAGGAGGCGATGGATGTGGCGATAGATATTGATTTGATGGTGGCACCTGAGATGTAGATGAAGACGGTTGCCAAGTGGCAGATCTCGTCAGCGTTGTAGAACTACTAGATGTAACATCTATCACATTGATTGCAGGAGAGAGCTGGCTTTGATAAAATGATTTATGCCTGTAATCGATCAATGTAGTTGCTTCTTCGCTTTCTCCTTCTTGATCCTCCTTGTTCAAGTATAAAGTATATAGATGACTTTGACGACGATCTGGTATCTGAACTTGTTGTTGTCGATGATAGCCAGCATTCAGTTCTGGAACACAAGAGGTAATCATGGCAGCAGATTTATCTGTTCGAGTGACACTAATATTATTGTTTCGTTTATATATGTTTTCTGTATCTGCATATGACTTGGCCTCATTTGTATCATCTGTTATCTCCAGTTTAGCATTTAAATACTTGCTTTTCATGCTAAGGCTGTGGTTCTCTGCAGAGGTTCTGCAATCTTTATGTCTGTCCGGTATATTGGCGCTTTGATTTTTTGAAGGGGAAGAGTTCTTACTGTCTGCGGCACCATTGCTGAGGATCCAGGATAAAAACGTTGATTTAGGTCGAGCCTTGTTTGCAACTGATGAATTCACCGATTTTCTCTCTTGTTCTCGTCGTTGATGCTGCTCCTGCGGTTGATGCATATCCAGTAATGATGGAGGAAGCGATTTGATTGTATACGATTGTTTGAGAAGCTGATGGTACGTGAAAAACCAAAAGAAATCTGTGGGAGAGATAAAAGGCGTACTTTGCTCAAAAGAAAGAGAAATTATATATAAAAGTCTAAATTATGAATATTTCATTATCGGTTACCTATAGCCCGTCTAAAAATAATTCAACAACTTATTAGCTGCTATGGTGGTTGTACACAAGTGCTTTATAGTGGCGGATAAAAGAATCAAACGCCTCAGATCAATACATTTTTGCGCTGCAATTTGAGTTACACTCTTGCTGTTGTGATCTGATTTACTACTGTGGTACTCATTGATCAACCCGTATTTATAGACATTCAAGAACACGGCTTAGCTGTGTCACACTTGTGATACAGAGAATATGCCAGCAAGAAGCAGAAGCTGGTAACGGATTCAGGAACAAGCATGTATGAACAGAAATGCGCGGATAAACCATGATCTTATTTTGACGTTTGAAGGCTTCTATGCGCCTTGACTACGTAAAAATACCTTTGGAATACAATGTGCACTATCATGCTGTCCAACAACTCTCAAGTTCAGCCTCTTGTTGTATTGCTTACACCATACGATGGTGCATCAGGTACTACCACTCAGTGGGAACAAGCACTCGTCGTTTCAGCATTCGGTCTTGAAAAGCTTCTAAATATACGATCTGTATTGCATACAAGTTAAGCTCAATATATTCTGTAATGCGCAATGCACTTTAGATATAGATGAGCACACGGATGCACATTACGGACATTCTAAAGTTACTGAGAGTTGCATTAAACAAAGTGCGCGTGCAGACTGACTGATCCGTATATTCAACGATGTCTGCAATGAGAAGACTCAGATATGCTACAGGTTTCAGATAAACTACCAAATGCTTAGCATGTGGCGTGTATTGCACAAATGTAACGGCCCTTGCAAATCTTTAAATAGATTACCGCATCAAAACTCTATACACCATATCCTGCGACTAAAAGCGGCGTTGAACGTTTGCCTTCATGTCAAGCATTCATTTTCAAGGCAGGGTGTCATTGCAGATATTCGATATGTTGAGACGTAACCTATCAAAATAGTAAGCTACAAGAGCGTCTTGCTATCAATGGCAACTTTTTCAGATGAAAAATACTGAAAAGGATACAGCATCTGTTTTTAGTATTGTTAGTTTATTTTGAATAGGGCAACAAGCTCATATTTCGAGCTCGAATGTGTAATTTGCAATAGTTTACCCAATTTTCATATACAAAAAATCCAAAAAGAATTAATAAAACAGTATAAACTGCACTAGCCAATCTATCTCGTTACGCTCTCGCCGAAGACATTTTAAATCAATATAATAAAAACCTGCTATAGAAGTAGGTTTTAAACAATCCATTATTAGTAAAAGAAAGGTTATATCAGAGCCAGGAGGAAAAGAGGCGGTATCTCCCTCAACACCCTTTTTGCTTACACTGATATCAAACGAAGTCTATTATTGAGACGATGTGAAAGAAGAATCAGGTTTTTGTGCAGCATTTGTAGACCACAATCTCCATTTTTTGATAGTAGAATTGTCATTGCCATTCTCTGCTACTGCTGCTCTTTAGATGGCGCATAGGGCTGGTCATGCGCAAATACAGAACTAGTGTAAGATATCCAGCGACTTTTTTTTGAGATATTGTCATTGCAAAAGACACCTTCGTGAGGCGAAAATTCCCTCGAAAAAGTATTTGGGCTAAGAAATTGCTCTTTCAATTCCATGGTCTCCATTTAATCAGTATCGCAATCATTATTGTCATCATCAGAAAGGCATTTGTTTTTTTTTAAGGAAGATTATTGTTTTATTGTTTAAAGTCCTATTAACGTACCCAAAGTGGGGAAGAGGATAGTAAGACTGGATATAAAGTGCTTTGCTATAGAAGTGAGTGAACGTTGTCTTGTGAATCTAAAGTATATAGTGCCCTGCCTATGCAGAGCATGACTTGGAGGGGTTCAAAATGAAAGGAGTCGAAGATGGATCTGTAGTGGCAGCTCCAAATTGCTTGAAGAATGCAAGAAAATACTTGGTACGTGGTGAGAGTGGGGTAGGGTGAAGATGTTGAGACTGTAAGGGGGGAGCGAAGGAGGAGAAGTTCTTGAAATTGCTCATAAGTGGGAGATTGCAGATCTGGGTCTATGTATGTGGAGAGTGCTTGGGACCAGACAGTGTATTTGATGGGACAGGAAAAGAGAAAGTGCGTTGTCGCTTCTATGTTGGTAGTTCTAGAAGGGCAGATCGTGCAATGAGGAGCGAATTTATCAGACATACGAAGGTGTAGGAGTTCTTTGGTGGCTATTTTGTTGAGGAGGATTCGGTACCAAGTATTACGTGCATTCAGAGCTATTTCGAGCTTCCAAAACTGACGCCATTGAGTAGAAGAAAGGATAGAACTAGGGGTAGGGGGAGAGGAAGAGGTTAGGAGGCATTTGAAGTATTTGATAGAAGTAACTTTAGTAGTTGGACGAATATTGTTGGGTTCTGGAGGTATAAGAAGAGTGGTGACAAAGGAGTGGAGAGCTGGAAATGAAGGAATGTTGGAATTTGGAAGGTTGTGAACCTCCAAGGCGTTGTGAGGTCGCGGTACTTTGGGGAGGAAGTTGTAAAGGACAAAGTTGTTGAGAAGTAGTTGGTTAGAGCAAAGTGGAGAGATAGTTTTGTTGATTGATGGGCCGTGTGGCAGAGCTTGGGGGAGATGATTGTATTCTAGGCAGAGTCGGTTGGGGTTGAAGATAAATATATCGGATCCTTTGAGCTGACGGATTGTTGGTTGGTTCTTGAGAACGTTGTGAGGGGGTTGAAAGAGGTGAGCTATTGGGTGGGTTGGTGGGAGATTGTGGACGAGGAGTTCCATCAGTGGTAGGTGAAGGCATGTGGACATGGTGGCATGGCTGAAATGGTAGTTGTGGGGGGATCGAATCTACGGCTCGTAGTAAGTTGACTATGGGACCAAAAAGGCGAGGAATGACCGGTCGACAATGGGGAAATAGGAATGGCCAATGATAGGAAGGATATTCGGCAGTGGAAAGAACAAAGTTGAGAGTGTATCTAAGGATGGGAATGGACGGCATAAGTGAAGGTGAGGCTTGTGGGGGGGGGGTGAATCAGGAAGTAGAGCCACCGCCATTGTAAGGCATTAGCTTGAGTGGCTGGATCGAGGAGTTTCAAGCCCCCTTGGTTGATGGGTTGGGTGAGGTGATCAAAAGCGAGGCGAGCGATTTTGGATCCGCGGTTGATGAAGGTGGCGGCGAGTTGCTGGAGCTGTTTGAGTTCAGGGGGTGAAAATGTAAAGAGGCGCATAACGTGCCAAAGTTTCGAATATAAGAGCGCATTGATGACGGTGACCCTACCTCGGTATGTTAATGCGCGGGCGGAGTGAAGCTGGCAATAGGCGCGAATCTTGGAGATGATGGAGAGGGCATAGGTTGCGCGTTGATTGGCACTTGAGCATATGGCGAATCCTAAGTAGGTGAGAGGTTCGGTAGCAGTGCGGTCGTGCCATGATGTGATACCCTGATCTTGTAGGAAAGAAATCCAGGGTGGGTGTGGTTTACCGGATAACGAGAGTGCTTGGGTTTTACTGTAGTTGAGAGATGCATTGGATGCGGCCATGTATTGGTTGATGATGTCTTGGAGGTGTTCAAATTCTGTGGGATTCCGGAGGACCACAAGAGTGTCGTCCGCGTATGCTAAAACTTTGATGGGAGGAGGGGCCAGAAAGACATTTGGGTCAGCCAGCAGCATCGCCGCCGCCAAAATCAATTAAAGCTCAGTTATTTTTTCTGCTCAAGATTGGATAGATTTCGTCTTTTTTCGACTTGATCGATATATTTTGAGAGATTCGACTATATAAATTGTGATGATCACCCAGTGCTTCCTAATACACTCTTGAAATACTTTTCAAGGCGCTTCTAATGGTGCCAAGTAAGATAAATGTTTTGAATAAACGTATTGAACAATTCATGAAAATATGAAAAGAGATTTCTGGCCAAAATGTCGAAATTCAACATATCAAGGTTCCACAAAGATGATTTCTAGGGTTACGTTAGATTGATAGATTCATTTTGATTCAAGATGTACCATAGTAAAAGTCTTCATTTTCAAGGTGAAAAATGCGATCATTTGATTTTCGATGAAAACCATGAGGGGTACCTTATGCTTTTTGGTCGAATTTTGCCCATGTTTTTTTGATCCCCAAAAAAGTTGAGCAAAGATGTCAGAAAGTAGTTGCCAGATGAGAGCAATTGTTTGGTACTATTCCGGTGGTCTAAAACGGCTTTCAACACGAGAAAACAAAACTCAAATACGTCCGAATTTCGCTGTGTTTGGCGTTCTGTTGGGTGATAAGAGGTAGTGTTGTTATGCAAGCTGTCCAGATATGAATCGTTTTCGTTGATACAGTTGTGGAATACTATAAATTAGTAAAATCCACGATCACAAGCAAATTTTTGAGATTCTTCATAGAAGTGAAAGGATGGCAATTGAACTTCTAGCATGTATTGGTAGGAATAAGCTGGTATACACTAATATTGTTATTACTGTAATACAATCCTTAGAAATACCGTTTGAATGAGTTTGTCTTCCCTGGTCAACCTACAAATCGTCATTTTAGCCATAGTAGGGCCTAAAAATACAAAACAAGTGAACAATAGCTGATGGCATGACGAGAATTGACTATTAGGAACACCTGATTAAAGACCAAGAGTTTGTTTGGCTGTGCAAGTGTCAATTCACATCAAAACAGCCATCGGATAGCCAACAGACCCGTCAATATCAATACATAGTCAACGTTAACATGTGAAATGATGCTCAGTTTATGCTGGAAAAATCCGGGAAACGCAATTCATATTATTAATGTGAATCACTGAAGATCAGGCTACGGAATTTTATCATATAATTCAACTCTCGTTTAACATACGAATGTGTATTTTACGTATTTTGTTGATGTGTCGCTGATTTGCAAGTCGGATACTTGAGAGAAACCAGGATTGTTGTCGTATCATGCTGTATGATACACGGTACCTGATTTTACAGAGATAAAAAAGCCACATTTGTCTTTCAAGGTTTGACATTAATGATACACAAGTACTCATGTTACAAGATTTGACATTTTCATATGATTTCTGGAGTCCAGTAACTAGATTTAATGATTTGTAATTTAAATGAGTGCATATCTGGTTACATATAGCAAGATTCGATTACTCTAGACAGAAAATGATCATCCGAGCAATCCTCAAGAGCTCATGTTCGTATCATGGAAATTCGAGAAACAGTTTTCAAAGTCTGCAAGGGTTATTATACTTTTGTTCTAGCTAATATTGCCTAAATCATTACTATAATTGCTCTTGATCATAATCACTGTTATGGATTTTCAGTCATTTCCATGTAGCCCTTGAAACTCAATGAAACAGCAAACGTAGATCTATAGGGGGGTTTTTTGGGCGCGCAACACTCAGCATGAATTGTGTGTCAAAATCACTCAAAGAGGAAGTAATTGTCCGTTTTGGCAACTCTCAGAACTTCAACGTGAACAAACAATTCCATTGAGATATGTCACTAACAACAGATATCCTTAAAAGTCAGTCAATCAAAGGAGAGGGCTAATCTATATATCAGCGTCTTGATTACGCTCGAGCCATAGTATAAATAGGGTTTTTAAGGTTCGTCGGCTTATCGAACGTTTTCAAATCTATATGGGCCATAGCACGTGAAGTTGCTGGATTCAGATAACCGATTAGACATTCATGATGCGCTATTTGTTATGAATGTCTCTACGATACGATGATGATTCCATTGAATAGGCTGCTTTTGTTGAATATGGTTAGTATTCTTGAATGATATAATATGTCCTAGTTAGAGGGTTTTCCAATTCGCTCATTTAAACTATACTGCATTTCGATCCGATTATCCCGCCGACGAGGTCTGGTTCTTTATCACATTCAACAGTTTTATATTTATAATGAAATTCGGCACCCTAAAATAACTCTTCAAACGTTCTGCAGTTGTGGACACTGTCTCCTAGAATAGCTCTGATTAAACAACGTAAGATGATTTCTCTTGAAAACCACAATCATTTTTCATTATTTATGACACATGAGCAATGAAAAGACATGATATCATGATGAGAGCTTTAGTACATGTTACACACTCAAGATGGAATGATGGAAGAAATTTTTTTACAGAATTGTGAAGAGTTAGAGATGGTGTACGATGTATACAGGTAGCATTGCGCAAGAGAGAAATCGATCAGTAGAAAATCCATTTTTCTAGGCATCAAGACAAACATTTCGTTGTGGACTAACATATAAAGAGTCTCTTTTGGCTGTGGAATTTTCCCCCAACAAAGGGTTCCCTTCTTTGTAAATCCATGTACCCTAGTCCATCCCTTGATTAGAAATCGGCGCTATCATATATCTAATATCTGACAATTACACATTGGAAGCCGATTTCATAATCACATTGTGATACTAGCATCGAAGATCTTTGTCAAGGACACGACCAGGAGGGGCAATATAACATCACTCTCTTGTTGGGGCTTTTCTGGTAATTTTCATGCTAAAAATAAAAGGTGTACATGAATACCTGGATTTCAAATCAACATCACAATGGATGCAATTGATGCCATGTCGATGTTATGATGAATTTTTTTTACGGTGTTATAATTCAACCGACGCGAGATGAGACATAGCCTGTCGTCTAGCTAAGGGCCCCTTTAGATCCGTCTCCACATTATTAATTCAAGGCAGCCTCGGTTAAAGACTAGAAGAAAAATTAATAATACAAGTGCTGCGATTGTTGTACACGTAAATATTTAATGATTTTGTGTAAGATTTCGCCCAAAAAAAAAAAAAAAAATCCAAACAGAGCAAAAATAGAAGCACCTTGCTTAGCAATGGAATTTTTCTCTGATGATACTGTTGAAGTCAATTGAATATCTTAAAAATAAAATCATCTCGGTCAAAGGATGGGCCATATTAGAAATCAAATTCTGCATTCATGCTACAAGATCTAAATCGTATCCAGTGCTATTTCAGATAGACAACCAAGCAATCGCTTGAAACTTTATTCATTTTCTGGGTAAATCCCAAGCATTTTCACTTTTGGGTCTGTTGCCACACCGCAGACTCGCGCTCAGAAACACTAGTAAAATGGAAGCGTACAGAAACAATATATGGTAAAAAGAAGCATGAATTTATTTTTATTAGCTAATAAAATGATGTATGAATTTACAAAAAGGAGAGATGATGGTATACGTTATAAATGAGAAAAATCGAGTGGTATAATTAAGTGGAGATGGTAGTTGAAGGATTAGATCATGTAGCCTTCCATTATATCTGTGCGAAGAATATCACGATTACCATCTCTATAGCGCACCATCCAGCGACCATCAGGCAACTTTACGTAGAAATTGGAGTAGGGAAATTCATTGCTTTTACAGTAAGTTGGACTGAATGGAGGAATCAGCATTGGAGCTGGTGCACTTCCTGTTTGATCGACTAATTGCTTGATGTGGCGCCTTGAGGTCAAAGAGGAATGGTCATCCAGGCCTTCAACCGTCTTTACTGATTCATCAGAGAGCGTGGAATTGCTGTAATTGCCTGTGGTTTGGCGAGAGAAATCACTGTGTCTTCTTCTCTTCGTGCTGCCCTTGCTCCTATTGCTGCATCTGCTGCTACGAGACGAGTGGAACAAATGGCCGATCTTTGACCAGAATGATTTGTGAGATTTGGCGGATGAATGTGATGAAGATGAGATGGATGTTTGTCGTGAAATATTTGAAATCATGTGTAAAAAGTAGAATTGATGTTATAACAAAATCAACATTTCAAAGTGGGTCCTTTGGATGGCCAAATGTGCCCGTATTTATATATTTTTGAACACGGATAAATATAGAATCTCGAGTCCAGCCAATCAACCCCATTGCAAACCGACACTTGAGACCATGCTTACAATTTCTATAAAGAAGAGCTCCGTCTAAAGCTATCTTTGAATAAGGTTTCGAAATTACAAATGTTAAATTTATTTTGGTAAAAAAAAAAAAAAAAAATTTATAATTTTTGCTTGGTTTCGATCGTCTGTACACTCTGGATGATGTCTCCAGGTTGGAAGTCATTGAACCCTTCAAATGACATACCACATTCTAAGCCTTTCTTGGCTTCCTGGATGTCTTTCTTGACCTGGCGAAGGGCATTGAGTTCACCTATAAAAGGAAATTTAATATGATGTATACATGGATGATAAGGCTTGCCATGTTATGTCTATCTTACCTTCCCAAATAGTCTCTTTATTACGTACTATTCTCACTCTACTATTTTTATGGATAACACCGTTTGTAACACGACATCCGGCAACTGGTTTTGTCTCTCTTCCCTTGGTATTGATATCAAAAACCTGTAATAATGCTGCCTCTCCTGTAACCTGTGTTGAGAGGATGGGTGGCAACATGTCGCTAAGCTGATCTTTTACTTCTTCCAAGAGTTTGTAGATGATAGAATATGATTTCACAGGGACTCCGATTTTGGCTGCCTCGGCTTGAATGCGTTTATCTGCTTTCACATTGAATCCTATAACTTGGCCATCACAAGCAGCGGCTAATTGAACATCGCTTTCCGAAATGTTGCCTACGCTGCTGTGAATGACCTTGACTCTGATCTGTTTGTTTTGCAGTCCTGCGAGACAATCAACAACTGCTTCCACTGTACCACTCACATCACCTGTCAAAACAAGTAAGGATCAGAAACTCCTTGACCCCCACGTGAGGTCATTCCACACTGTAATCTTACCTTTGACGACGGCACGAAGTTCCAGCATATCCTTCTGCGCATCTTCCTCCTTATTTTCTTCCTTGAGGCTGGCTTGTATAGCACTCAGTCTCTTTCCAAGCGACTCTGGCAGCACTTCACTGAGGCCCCTTTGATACATGTACATTTCCTTCTTGTATGCCTTTTCAGCCATCCTTTCTTGCTCCAATTGCTCTCGTTGATGTCTACGCTTATCATTGATAACTTGCAAATCACGGAGTTGCTGCTCCCTTTGATGTCGTGCAACACGATTATCCACAACAGTTTTGGCTAAGTTCTATTTATATATGCGTTAGTGCTGAATAGAAATGTGTGGGGCGAATTCGTAGGAATTGCGTACCTCATCCGTCGCAGTGAGCATTTCGTCGCCGGCGCTAGGAACATCCTTCCAACCGATTACTTTTACAGGCATGCCTGGAGTAGCTTCTTTGACCGGTTTGCCTTGATAATCTGTCATTGATCTCACTTTGCACCAGGTCTGACCAGCAACAACAACGGAGCCTGCCTTTAATGTGCCTTGTTGGACAAGAATGGTTGCAACGTTACCTCTGCCTTTTTCAATTTGGGATTCAATGACAACACCCTCTGCTGCACCAGGCGTTCTATCAGCTTTCAACTCCAGGATCTCTGACAATGTAACAATGGTCTCCTCCAGCTGATCTAGATTTTTGCCAGTAAGACCTGAAACCTCCACGCAAGGCACATCACCACCAATCTCCTCCAAATGAACATTGTAACGCGCTAGTTCCTGTTTCACTCGAGAGGTATCGACACCGGGTTTATCGCACTTATTAATAGCAACGACAATAGGTACATTAGCTGCATGCGCATGCTGAATTGCCTCTTGTGTTTGAGGCATTACTCCATCATCGGCTGCCACAACCAGTACCACTATGTCAGTAACCTGGGCGCCTCGTTGACGCATAGATGAGAACGCTGCGTGTCCCGGTGTGTCTAAAAAGGTAATTGTTTTTTGCGAGGGTAATTTAACTATGTACAGAACAGCTTAGTCATGGCTGCTTATGTTGTGCCCTTATCAATCTATACCAGAAAAAGCACCAATGTGCTGAGTAATGCCGCCTGCTTCGCCAGCTGCAACAGATGTCTTACGCAGTGTATCTAATAATGTGGTTTTGCCATGATCGACATGTCCCATAATTGTAACAATTGGGGGCCGGTCCACCAACAAGCTGGGATCAACGGGCGTTGATCTATTTGTGTGTTAGATATACTGTTTACGTCGATTTGTTTGTATATTCTCTTTTCATCTGCTTTTGTAACTTGCCTGGGAAATAGGTCAATGGATTGCCTTGAGTCGACGATAGGATTCATGTCCAACTGCATGGCAATAAGACTGGACTCATCAGCACTGAGCACTGAAAAAAAACGTGAATCATTAAGATCAGGCAAAACGTGCTTTGTTCATGCGGCATCTTACTTCTATCATGCGAGGTATTTCCCATCTCTAGTTCATCCATGGTTCTAATCAATTGCTCTGAGACAGTGTTACTCATATCATCCCAATCATGCAGACGTCAAATGCTCACCAATTCGGATACCCAGCACCTTTGACAGGTTGGCAACATTGATGATCTCGGGGATGTAGACATCTTTCATTTGGTTCATTTGTTCTTCCTTCTCCTTGGCCTTCTGCTTGGCTTTCCTCAATGCAATTTGTTGACGCTCCTTTTCCTCTTCCTTTGCTAAGGCTGTCAATTCCTCCTCTCGCTTCTTTCGCTCTCTCTTTTGTGCTTGAGTCTCTGCTTTCTTGAGTGGTGGCTTCGAGAACTTGTTGACATGACGTTCATGCATTTTGTAAGTCTCTCCTGCATGCTTTTCGCTGTGAAGGTCGATGGGTTTGCTCCAATCTCTCTTGGGTGCTACTCGTTTACCATCTACTGTGGTGGCGGTGGCAGTTGTGTTCTTTTTCTGTAAAGGACGACTCCAGTTCGTCTTGGCCAGGCCTTTGCTTGGTCTCTTTCCCCCTGGCGCTGTTGCTGCTGCTCCCGAGTTGGTGGACGGCATGCCTAGACCTCCTCCTCCTCTGACAGGTTTGCTTCTTTCTTCCTTGAATAAGCGGCTTGCTGTTTGGAAATACATGGGTCTGCCCATCCAGCTTCTCTCTTGTGTTGCTCTTCCATAGCTGAGCTTGCTCGATGGCTGGATCAGTAGCTGTAGAATCTTTCGACTGCTCATCGTTTATGAAAGTTTGAAAGAGTAATAATAATATTCGCCCCTTTCACTCTGCTGTTACATGGGCGTTTGAGCGTAGTTTTCTCCTATGAATCCAATATCCTGGGGAATGGACCTAGTCACTTTGTGACCGTATACATGCATTCTTTGACAGACATTACACCCTTCACAATCATTGATAGCTCAATATTTACCCTATTGGAACAGATGTATATCGAGAAATTAATGGTTTAGAGCGTTTCCACTGTTCTGGCATAGTTTTTTTTTGGCTTGAAGTTGCATGAAAATCGTGAGTAAATGTACGGAGATTCAGGAGAGACTTCCTGCCGGTGATCAAATACCAACTTGCATTTTAAATTGATTCAGCAAAGTGTAGCACTGAACATGATCGCAATGCGCAATCTGGGTTAGCAGCTCGTAGAGCAACCTCAGCTACAAGTTATGTTTGCCATTATCCAAGTTTCACCATTGTATTTAAAATGTTGTTAATAGAGCTGCCAAATCGGACTTGAATGAAATGGCAAAATGTCCAGTAACCAAATTTGACATTCTTTCCTGATTGCCAATAGTAGAAATTAACAAGCCTATCCTCTGAGCTCTCAGATAGAGATACCATCTATCTCATATGTCCAATACATCTAATAAAGGCTTCAAATTTGAATGACAACTGAATCACTGGCGTAGCCCGATGCTGATCTTCAGGTTTGATTTATTCGTCAAAAATACAAAACAATGTTTCATTGTGAACCGCATCATTAGTTTGTAAAATGTAGCAAGGCGCAAGTATTTAGTTTGCTGCATTTTGCTTCGGTTTAAACGGCAGGAATAAAGCAGTTTTTTTTTTTTTTTTTTTACTGCGAAATGTCAAACAGCAGAATAATTGATCAAAAGACAAACCGAATATCAAACTTGGTCTATTGAAAGATTTACGAAAGCCGGAAAAACTTTGCACTTCAATTTGAAGGATTCTGATAAAATAATATAGTTTAGTATTATTCAACAGCAATCTGGTAACTCTTCTGATCTACTTGAAACAGCGAGCAAACCTGAGCCCTGGTAATTTGTCAAACAGAATGTGTAGATATCAGTCAAGGTTAAACTATTTGAATGGATGTTTTGAATCATTTAGTCTAACATATTTCCAATAAAAGATGCTCAACTTTATAATTTTACTATGTTGAGGAGAGCCATGGCTTGCCGAATGTTCAAGAAATTTTGCAACGGGCCAGATTTAGCGGTTCATTTACTATTGTTTTTTTTTAACTTACCGAGGTTGATAGCATTATATGAAACCGTTTTTCCGCTGATCAAGATATCAAGAATGGCCGTGGCAAAGAAGGATAGATCATATACAGAGAGTTGGTATAGTTTAACCAGAGATTTAATGGGGCTAATGTTAGAATCTTCTCTTTCCATCATCTGGATCTGCAATTTGATGGGGCATGTGGTTCTAATTCTGAGTATCATGTCAACCGGATCTGCCTTCATAGTTAGACAACTATCTATATAGACTCAATTGAAAGGGGACAATCTCATTCTAGAGTAGTTCTTACATATCTTCATCTGATATAGTAATATATGCTTGACATGGCCATTTCATTTCTTTAATCCACGCTGATTGAGGCCAATGCAAAGCTACACAGTCACCTTCTCCGGTACACCAAGCGGTAAGAAGGTCATTGGAGGCTTGAAAAGAGCATTGAAAAAAGTTTACCTGCAATTATTTAACAAAACTTTGGTCCATCAAACTTGATAGATAATGATATACGATTTCAATATTCCATACCCCAATAAAAGCGATGCTACTGAATTACAACGCATAGAAAAGATATTAGATAGACTAGATTCTTGTAATATATTCATCTTGAAATGTTGCGAGTATACGAAGCTAATCTTGTTGTGAATATCATAGTTGAGAATAGAAGTACCATTGCGCTGAACTTGACAGTAGAAGGCAATCTATCGGACGTCAAGGTATAAGCATGCCCTTTTCTATGAAACTTGAACCATATCTAAGCATGTGAAATATAGTCAATTGAGCCAGTAGCATCTCAGAAATTCACAAATATGCAACAATTAACAAGAGCAACTCTAATGGTGGAAGACGTCAAACAAAATTACCAACTCGTAAGCAGCTTACAAACAACAACAAGTGTCTCATTGGAATTAACATGTTGAACTTAGGCTGCAAGTTCAGCGTATCCAAATATTGACATTTTAGCTGTACGTCCTACAAACTTCGATATTTGCAAACACGCTTGTCAGACGTACGAAGTTGATCTGATCTCGCTGGATTTGGCTAAATCGAAAGCTCTACCTGGATTTGTCGCAGCACAGATGGCTGTCAATCGTGGCATATTCTTTGAAGTGTGTTATTCACAATCATTCAGAGGTATGTTGCTTGTAGATGTTAATGGTGGCTATACTAAATTCATAATGCAGATCCAAACAAACGTTTTCTGTTCTTCAATAATGTTAAGAGATTAGTCGAGGTGACCAGAGGACATAACCTGATATTTTCAAGCGAGGCAATGCGAGCATTAGACATTAGAAGACCTGCTGACCTTAGAATTTTGTAAGTAATGAGCAGGCTTTCCACATTGTAATATCACTCATTTGCTCGATACAGAGGAAGTATGTTTGGGATGACACACGATCAAATAGAGGCCACCGTTACAGTGAATTATCCAAGATTATTGAAGAGAGCTGGTATGTTTATTGTGTGCATCCAATGAAACATTGACTAAACTTTTATGATACTTTTTAGAAACCAGAAGGCTCACTTACAATGCAACCATTGCCCTTGATAAATCAGAACTTTTTGCCGAAGCAGTGGCAAAAGACAATGCTTCTTCTTCTTTGCAGAAACGTAAAAACACAGATCAACCGCAATCTAAAAGAGCTGCTAAGCGTAACAAACAGCAACAGAATCAGAATAAATAGAATACTACAGCCTGTTTATAGTTTACAACGTGTACTTTTCATAGAGCTTTGCCTTTAATTAAAATTATAACTTTGCTTGGATCACATGATCTGTAACTCCAGCTGGCCTGTCAAGCACTTACATGAATTGAGGCAGATTCAATGTTATCGAACAAGCAATTATATGATAAAGTTACTGCAAAATGTCAAATACTCCACAGAATATATACATGACGCAAATACATATACTGTATAGTACAAGCCAATAACCTTGTTGAGGATCAGGCGAAAAATACTATACAATATTACTGTCGTAATAGACAGCTAGCGCATCACTTGGACGAGCTTTGCAAACAACCAAATCCAACCGTTGTCATGCTTGGTTGAGGGGACCAGTAAGATCACTCAATATTGGAATGTCAATCAAGTTTGCTGTGAATGTCAGATGATAGGGGTGGCTAACGTACCAACAACACATCATTTCATATAGACGCACTTTGGTCCGGCAGCACTTGTTTTGCCTGCCATTCTCTGTTTTTTGGCTAACGTACCAACAAAATAGCCTCTTTACTAGCCACACGTTTTTCCTTTTTCGGCCCTGACATGTCAACTAGATCTAACAATTTATTTGATCTCTTGTATAAGACAAATAGCTGATCGATCGTGCTAAGCTCGATGACGACTTCGCCTTGCGGGCTCTCGTCGAAGACATTGCAAATCAGAGATAATAAAAACCTGGCATAAAAGTAGATTTTCAACAATCAATTAATAATGAAAGAAAGGCTATAAAATCGGAGTCGGAAGGGGAGGTATTCAATCGCTGATGTTGCTCTTGGAATGGTGATATAAACTGGTCATGAGTAAATGCAAGGCTACTTGTGTAAGGTCTACAGCGACTTTTTGAGAGATTGTCATTGCAAAAGACATCTTTGTAGGGAAAAACTCTCAACAAAAGCGGAAAAAAGAAGTATTCGGGCTAAGTAATTGCCCTTTCAAATCCATGGTCTCCATATGGTCAGCATCGCAATCATCATTGTCATTATCATTGTCATTATCAGAAAGGCATTTGGATCAGCCAGCTGCAGTAATGCCCGCCAAAATTGATTCACACTCAGTTTGTTTTTTTCTGTTCAAGATTGGACAGATTTCGCTTTTTTCGACTTGACGGAACAGTTTTGTGATATTCGACTATATAAATTGTGATGATTAACCGATGCTTCCTAATACACACTTGAAGTACTTTTCAAGGAGATTCCAATGGTGTCAAGTAAAATAAATGTTTTGAATGAACTTATTGAGCAATTTGGTAAAATATGAAATGAGGTTTTTAGCGAAAATAGCCAGATTTTGAGTATGAAAACTTCATAAAAGTGGCTTCAGAGGTTGCTTTGGATTAAGAGAAACATTTTGATTCAATATATACCATAGTAAAAGTCTTCATTTTTGGGGTGAGAAATGCTATCGTTTATTTTTTAATGAAAATTATGAGGTGCCCCTTATGGTTTTTGGTCGATTTTTGGCCATGTTTTTTGGGTTCCCAAAAGGGTTGAGCAAAGGTGTCACGATGTTACTACTACTCAAGTACAATTGTTCGGCGTCATTCCAGTGGCTCAGAAAGGACTACATGTCAAGATATGAAGGCTTGAAAGCTATCAAATTTGGTTATGTTTTTGCTTTATAATAGCTTATATTTACGCAGCATAAAATAAATGTCATCTCAGTCAAGCCATGATACCATCAACATATAAACATCATAACATAATAAATGTTCAGTACTTTTGCACTTTACAATCCTAATATGGAACCTGAGTTTCAAGGCATCTATCTGTCCTGGCTCATATCATAACATAATAAAGGATTATTTACCAACTCTCAGTAGTGGGTGCCATTTGGGGTTCCCTGCTATTTTGGGACCCAGATTTACATAACACATTTTAAGCGATTTTTACAAAATCCACAGGAAAACAAAGATATTTATTAATGAAAATGCAACTATTGATGGTAAAAAAGGCTCAGCTAGAAGTGTTGCAATTTTCTTCTTTTCGTTTCTTCGTAAGGAAAAAAAGCGCCTTTTTGGAGCTCGGTGCCCAAGCGATCCAAAGACCAGTGGCGAGTGTTGAGCACCTTTTGTAGGGCGCCTACAGCAGAAGTGGGGGAGAGACCAAGATCCAGCTGAAGGTCTTCAACGGAATCAATGATTTTTTTACGGATATTGAACCATTTTCTGTCGTCTTTTCTCCATTTAGCGCCCCACTTGTCTTCTAATTCTTGAACAGACCAGAATCCATCTCGACCTATTGTCCACTCGTCCCAAAGATCACACACAGTTGTCACTTGTCGACTCATTTTGTATAACGGTACACCTTCTTGATTGTATGTAAGTGAAATAGTTGCAACTGCGGTGTTGTTGTAACCTGGTGGTGGTGGGCTTTGTTGAGATTCTTCCGAAAATTGTTTTGATTGCGATACATCTTCTGATCTTGGCAAGGCAGAGGTTTTTGCGACAGCGCCTGTTGTCGCTACTGCTCGGTTCCCTTGGTCCATTCTAAAAGACAGTTGCAGTTGCTGCTTTCCGGTGACTATATTGTCAAACACTTTTTGCATTTGCTGCTGGATTTCATCCGACTTCTTTTGACGTTCTTTCAATTCTCGCATTGTATTTGCTATACTTCGGTTGATGCTGGAAAGCTGCTCTTGTACTTCAGGCGCAAATCTTTCAATAATTAATGAATGGGGCACTTCATTTTCTTCAACGTGAGCTTTTGCTTTTCTATAAATAAAGCAAAAAGATCAGACACACAGTTTTCATTTTGAAAAAAAAAAAAGCTTTATACCTTTGAAATTCTAGAAAGAGTGGGTTTCTGATTAAATTTCAGGAACATAAGTACAAACTAAAAGCGAAAAAAAAAGTTCTTTCAGGTGTTAATTAACCAAAAGAATACATGTATTTTTTATGATAAGGCCTTGGATAACGCACATATCATTAGAATGTATTAAATCCTAATATTTTTTATGTAAATGTCAAATATACACACTTGGAACGAAAACTGGAACCCAAAGATCAATAACAATTGTTATTTGACAAAGTATTGGCTTATAACAAAAGTTATCACTCCAATCGGGTTCCAATTTTGCTGGGAACCCAACTTTTTTTTTGGAACCTCCAAAAAAAATAATAAATGTTCAGTACTTTTGCACTTTACAATCCTAATATGGAACCTGAGTTTCAAGGCATCTATCTGTCCTGGCTCATATCATAACATAATAAATGTTCAGTACTTTTGCACTTTACAATCCTAATATGGAACCTGAGTTTCAAGGCATCTATCAGACCTGGCTCATATGAGAATAATGATTTTACAATCAATCAACAAAAACCACTGTAATTTCTACGCTCTTTCCTCTGCTCAATGCTGTCAATGTTTTATTTGAGCGACGTCTCAGAGCCTCAGAGATTTCATTACTTACTGCAGACATTTTATGCAACCCATGCATTGTCAATGTCCAGACTAACGTTATTAAATATAGAATGCAACAAAATATCATTATGAACGATATAGAAGGCAATAAAATATCATTGTAAACGATAGTGCTATGACCTGCCACCTACTTTCTATACGCTTCAAGAGCATTTACTACTGTATTGCCTTATGAAAAGGGCATGAGTTTTCCAGCTGGCCCCACCAGCCAAAATTAATTCAAACCCAGAATTTTAGTCTGTTCCAGATTGGACAAACTTTAATGATTCTGGACTCGATCGAGCTATTTTTGCAGATTCGACTAAGTGAAGTATGATAATCACCCCATGCTTCCTTAAGCTTTCCTGGAGTACTTTTCAAGGCGCTTCCAATGGTACTAAGTAAAATAGATGTTTTGAATACACTTATTAAATGGTTTGTAAAAATATGAAAAGAGGTTTATGGCCAAAATGTCGAAATTTTACATACCAAAGTCCCACAAAGATAATTTCAGAGGTTGCTTTGGATTGATAGAAACATTTTGATTCAAGATATACCATAGTAAAAGTCTCCATTATCAAGATGAAAAATGCGATCGTTTGATTTTCGATGAAAACCATGAGGGATACCTCATGCTTTTTGGTCGATTTTTGACCATGTTTTTTTGGTCCCCAAAAAGTCGAGCAAAAGTGTCAGAAAGTAACTGCCAGATGAAAGCAACCATTTGGGGCTATTCTGACGATCTAAAACGGCCTTGAACGCAAGAAAATTCAGCTCAAATGCACTCATATTTTGCTGTATTAGGGACACTAAGGACTAAAAAGTGGGAATACCAGTATGCTGCTTGCCCGTATATGAAGTAGTTACGTGTATATGGATGTAGAACATCACATAAGAATCAGATCCACAGATAATATGAAGGGTTACTATGTGTAAGTGGAGGGTCAAAATGAAAGTAGCAGTATTTTGATAAAATACGCAAGAGAAATCAGTAGCACGAGCTGCCGCTGCGCAGGTTGGTTCTCTACCTTCGCTACGCTTCGGTGAGAACCATCCGAAGCATAAACACTCATATGATTAGTGATTATATATCAATCAACAATCAGGGTTCCTCTTCTAACATTTTAGCTATATTAATTTTGGGATATTAGCCAAAGGCCCGCGGCAGCGCGAGCCGTTTGAACGTAGGTTGGTTTCCACCGAAGCGAAGCGTAGGTCAGGAAACCACCCGAAGTGCTGAAAGGCTCGTAATATATAATAATAGTATTAGCACGATGATAGCGAGGGTTAAATGCTCTAAAAATAAGAGATGACAACATATTCTAAGGTAAATGTCAACGGTATTGTTGTAATAATGTGTTGTAATTAACATAAAGATACCTAAAAAAGATACATGCTCAATAATAAAGAGGTATTCTTTAGGCATGATTCAAAAACCATATATTGAAATACCATTCTTGTTGATCCATCAGATCAACAACAAAATAACCCAACAGTAATATGCTTTTTATTGCACATTATCCTAATTTCGAATAAAGAAGGTATTTTAAGAGTATTATTCTA